AGTTTTTCAAGTATAAAATAACGTTTTAGAAATGAAACCACAGAACTTCCAACAAAGATGCCATTTCCTGTCTAAACTGCAACTTTTATCAAGTGCACCAGGCAAATCCTCCTGTTACAAGAAAGCTCTAATGCTTTCATCCACAGACAGCGTTTCTGTTAAGCACAAATGGTACTGCTGTACAAGAACTAGGCACAGCCATGGTGCAGAATTTTGTCACCCAAGGATGTAACTCTCAAAATGCTTGTTTCACTGCAACGGTCTTTTACAGACGTCACCACTCAGAGAAGCAAATGTGTGTGGATTTGGCTGTTAAAGATTTCACAATCAAATTAATTAGTGTTTTAAAGATAAACCCAAAGCAGAATATAAAAACAGTGTGCTGCTTTTTGCCTTTTTTTTTTTTTTTTAATTTACAGACTACAGGTGAGCTATTGAGGTCGAGGAAATCAGGAATTCCTTAGCTTTACCATAATGAAATCAAATAGAAACACTTTCTTACTGCCCATTTAAAGAAAAAGCTGATACTGCTCTTCATACACCCTGGAAAAATAACACTAATCCTAGCGTGAAGTAAAAATTGTAATAGCTTTGGTAATAATTTTCTGTGCTTCTGCTATCTTAATTCAAAATGCTTTCACAGTAGCATATTAACACAAGTTCTTTAAAAGCACTACAATCACTCCAGAGCAATCCCTGTAAAACTTAAGAATTTGTGTTTCCTACAGAATTGCTGGAATGTAGCATTAGCTGACATCTTGTTTCCTGCTCCTTTGGATGAATATTGTCATACTAAAAAGCTGTGCCAATCTTGCAACTTATTCCGCAAGGATACAATAGCCATAGTTGCAGTGACAAATATAGTGATAGCACAGATGAAAGTTCTAAATTAGGAACTTGTTGAGATTTGCACTTGAAGGCATAGCTAAAATCCTTCTGTTTCACACTTTGATGATTATGCTTACATTTATTATACAAACTCGATATAGTGATTCATCAAAAGACATGACAGTTTTGCATATTTCTATAACTCTGCACAGATTATACTTAAAATATTTTTTATTTTCCCCCATATTTCTTTATATTCACAATGAAAATCAGATAAGTACATTAAAATTGAAACATTGGCAGAAACACTGAAACACTGAAGACATCTTCAGTACACAGCTTAAGTATACCTACTTCATTCTCTGGCTTAGAAATACCTGGATTGAATTAATTTCAATTTAAGAATTCAAACAAAAAAAGAGCAAGAACTTGTGCAAACTAAGGAGCATGCAAGAAATCCATGTTTCAATGCATGGTATAAGATTATACTTGTGTACTCATTAGATAATCAGATGTCCCATTTATTTTATTGCTAAGAGCAATTTCTGCTTTCTATTAACTATTTATGCCATTTTCCCACAGAACATCAGATCAATTACTATCAGCACTGCGCGTGACAACAGGAGAAAAGAAAGCACCATCCTGTTTTAATCTGCCCTGGGGGATGTAACAGTTACTACCTCTGCAATGCTGCAAGGCTACTTCCAAAAAACCGCTCACAATATAAAAGCTTTCCTGTCTCAACAGTAGGTAGCACTTAAGAGCATTACTTGCTTTTATGGCCTCTCTTGATGTATTTGGCCTCCACTGCTACATTTAACATTTATACCTGCATCTAAAGCATTAACACCACGAATGAAATAAAAAACTAAGTATTTCTGTATGAAAACAATATGCTGCAAACACCTTCAGAAAGCTTTAAAGGTTATGTATCAGTCTTGCAAGGCGTTGCAAGGTGTAAATGCCTCAAGTTAGTGACAGCATATGCCACTCCACAGCTGTGAGAATTAGGCAATAAATCTTAGTTACAGCTGGTAAACATGTATTCCATGAAATGAGTACTCCCCAGGCTTTATACATGCTGTTCCCACAGAGGTCAGTGGGGCACCATACAGAGTTCAATGGGATGATCTCATTTATAATGGAGACTTGCAGACAATTCAGTCCAGCCACAAAACAATACTGGTTTGGTGACTGTTTCCAACAGACTGTTTAAAATCAAGTACACTAGGAATTTTATCCTGGCATGCTAATAAGATCACATGCTTATTGCACTGCTGAATTTCTAAGTTTAAGACCTTGGGAGGAAAAAAAGTAGTATAAAGGAGCTAGAAAAGAATATTTAAGAAAATGGTCTGAAATTAAGAAAAAAAGACCAGAAATATTGGTAGGTAGTGTTGAACTAATGCAAATTAAAGGCCATTTCTGCCATATCTATATGTTCTTGTTTTCAGATCAATGACTTAAAAGTTACAAGTGTATTTACAATGCCTTACAAAAATCTCTATAATCAAGCAAGAAGTCTACAAATAGTCAATTACATATTTCTGAATGTTTCCTTTGGCAAATAGTTTTTGTTTCTGCAGCAACATGTTTTGGAATTCATGCTGTTCTCTGAGTCCAAGATCAAGCTTTTAAAATGTGTTTCCTTCTTTCTTTTTTTATTGGTACCTACTTCAAAGTGCTGGTGTAAAATCCCCAGATGATGGCAGAAAAAAATGTTTTAAGAACCATTAATCAATAGCAAAAGCTCACAAGGATCCTTGCCACATTCCAGTTTGGACAAGTGCTTGATTGTGTGTGTGTCTGGTATTTTCTATAGTTTAAACAATTTCTAACTTAATTATAAGTCATATCAGGTTATCCTATTGTGGTCTTTGCAGAACTGGAGAAGTATACAGTTGCTAATATTTCTGCAGTTAGTAACACAGAATAAAATTGAGTGATATGTTGTGTGGTTTATATTGAGTGGAGGGGGTAGATGAGCTTCTTACTTATTTCACTATACTCAAGATAAAAGAAATCTTTTTCTTCTATCACTCAAAATGGCTTAACATTTGGTTTCTGGAAAAACTGGTTACTTATAAAAGCTGCTTTTACATAAATTTCTTCCCATAAGACTCAGTCAGCTGCTTGTTTGAGTTGAGAACATGTGATACTTACTATTTCCTATTTTACATCTAAATCCAGCAGCTGCTATCTCATGACTCACAAGCATACCAGTTCATTCTTGCAGTTCCTCGTAGCCTTTTCCCATTAAAATAGGTACACAAAAATTGCTGATCAGTTTGTATTTTCTGCTACTTACAGTCAGCTAAGTCTATACTATGGACACAGAGGTTTTTTTTCTCATCTTCAAACAGTTCACTCTGGACTACTATGAAAAACACCGTCTGATCAAAATCTCAGTTACTGTTCACCAACAGTGATGATCAGGAACAGCTGAACAAACTTCTACAGTGTTATGGCCTTGAGCAAACACTCTGGAGTATCTGGATTCATATTAGGAAAAAAGCCAAAAATTGAGTATGTCATTCAGGAAGGACCACATTACTGTGTAACTGAGAGTACCAAATATAATGTATCGATTAAGTTATACACTGGCTTACAAAAAGAGAATTTAAGAAGTTAAGCATAACTACAGATGTCTGCACGTGAGCCATTTTGTCCCAAAGGTGAGATGAGCAGTTGCTCTAATGTTTTGAATAGGAACAGCTTTCACATGTGAATGATGTTTAACTGAACTAGAAACACAAAGGATTTTTTAAACGTTGCCACATAACTATCCACAACAGGAAAGTCACTCAGTATTTCAAGTGAATTAGAAACTTTCTTCCCCAAACAGATTTTCCAAACTTAAGCCTTCAGTTGACACACAATTCACAGGAATTCATGACATCAGTGTTAAACCTGAAGATTATCACTTTGATTTCTGCTTTGCAATTCCTCCACAATTTTAGAACGATAGCATGAATTTTCTTCACAGTTCTGTTCAGTTATAACAGCTATCCAAAAATACATTGCATTCAATTATTATAACCATCATAGTTATCAGTACTGAAAGCTAAAGCTTAAAAAATGCCAAATATTACAAAAGTTGTGATAAAACAACACTGATATAATTTACTACTGACAAAAAAAAAAAAAAAAGCAGCAAAACCCCTCACAAGCATCAAAAGTCACATTTGGAAGAATGGGAAACTTCAAACAAAGAAGTCAGCTCTGCTTACACACATGTAGTTATTCATGGGGGTATATACCGATAGACACACCCAGTATAGAGAAGCAATGGCTTTTAGCTGCTGTCACTGGGAATCAAGGCCCCACTAGTAGGTCTTCTCTGAGCAGCCGCCTTGAGATAACTTTGTAACACTGAGAAATCACAAACCTCACCTTACTGCAGCCTCCTACCCATAAAATAGACATGAAGTATTAGCAAGTGATGGCTACCACACAGTGCGGGTGCTCTGGGACTGCTCCTGCCCCACACGCAAGGTGCGCACGGGCAGCGGTGGAGACCCCAGCGCTACACTGCCTTTCATGGCTGCTGTAGGCAGCAGGACTGGCCAAGCATGGGGGACAGCCCAGACAACCTCCCTATATAGAGGGACCCCCTTCAGCCCTCCCTTGCCCTTCAGCCCTGCCAGGCCATGTTGTGCAGTGGGTGACAACCTCCCCGCCCAGCGCAGATGTAGTAAACTGCCACCAACTGTCCCCAGTAAAGTCCTCCCACACACCCAGCTTCACCGTACAGACTTTCAACTCTCTCCTCTGCCAACACAAGACTTTTCCACCTCTTTGTTAGCACAGTTAAAGCCATACAGCCTAAGAAAACATCAACGTTCTGACCTAAGCAGCACCCACAAGCTTCGCCGCCATCTTCAAAGCGGGCAGCGAGCCGCCATCTTGGCCGAGGCCCGCCCTTTTCCCCTCACACGGAAAGCCCCAGGGGCCGCGGGAGGTTTACTTACCCACTTCTTTGCCCTCACCCAAGATGGCCGCTGGCGCATCCGATCCTCCCTCAGACGGGCGTCGCAGCGGCCCGCCCTAGCCGCCCTCTATGGTGCGGGGCGGCGGGGCCGCAGGAAGCGGAGGAGCCCGGGCGTCCTATTCAAAGCGCGTCTGTGCGGGTGTGCTGCTGCGCGCCCGGGCAGGTACCGCCGGCGTGGCTGGGGGTGGCTGGCGGGGGCGACGCCGCCCCGTCCCGGGGCGGGCTTGATCGAGGGGAAGATGTGTTGGGGGGGCCGCTGCTGAGGGAGCCCCTGGCCGGGAGCGATTCACCTCTCGGCCTGGCAGGGGTGCGGCGGGCGGACCCCGGCTGAAGGGCTCTTGTTACCCTCACGTCGGGGAAGTAAAACCGAGGTTTGTGTTGGTGTTGGCAGCGCGCTGCAGATCCTCTCGCTAACGGGATGATCGCTGAGGAGGAGACCCGTTAGTGCATCGGTGTCACTGGGGGGAGGCAGGTGCAGGACTGGGAGGTAAAGAAAGCTCAGCCCGCTGTATGGTCTGGGCTTGATGTTTGCAGTGAAGTTTTCAAGGTGCTTGTTTGTCTAGCTTTGGGTAGCTCACCCTCAGTCGAGAGCTTGGAGGAAGTGTTTTGGTGTTGAAGATCAGGTTAATGTTAAGCGCAACAAATTCAAGCAAAATTAGTTGCCCAAAAATATCTCTTTCTCTCTCTGTAATTGTAAAATTATCATAGTAAAACTTTTGTGTTCGTTTAAAGGCACATTTATGCCTTAAATGTAACTTTAAGAAAGTTCCCTTGGTGCTTTTTATTCCCTGAGGCACTTATTTTACAAGCAGCAGCCTCTGTGGGAGACAATGCGCTTGACTTTGAGCGTCCACCATTAAGCTGATACTGGCATTTGCATGACTGAACTTCACTGAATGAAGATTGGGGTGAGATGGAGTAGCTTGCATTAATAGATTTAACTGGTATGTATGTGATTTATGTTTTAAGTAGGGTGTGTTGTTTGTGAAATATGGACACATTTCTGCAGTGAGCTTTATGTATTTGATAATGTAGTGGTATTTTTTAGCTTGCAGGCAGGAGAAGGCTTTGTACACGCAGAAATATTTTCCGATATATTGGGAGCAACTCACTGGAGTCATTTGGAAATTAAAGCTTGATGCTTGACATCCGGAGGAGACGGAGTGTGTCTTCTGCATAAGTGGTTTTGTGTCTTTCGGTTTCAGATTCTCTCAGATATGTTCCTAAGAGATTAAAATCAGTTGTATGTGCTTTTTATCTAACTGAAAATACTTGGTTACATCTGCTTTATTAAATGGGAAAAAAAAAAATCCCCTAGAGCTTTATATCTAAACTAGCCAGTTGGTGCAGAATTGTGTGTGTCATGTAGTATCTAAGAACAGCAAGGTGACTAAAGGACTAAGAATCACATACTTTTCTTCTGTAAGAATATGGCTGTGCTTAGGCCTGCTCTCTAAGTGTTTTTCATGGTTATTGAAAAAACCTATTGAGCATTGGTATTCTTCTGGAAACATTATTATGGGCAGCTAACACCAGCTTAATGCCAACCTCCTACGAACTGATTCTGTGAGCAAAAGAGTTGGCTATTTAATGATTGAAGTACTGAGTCAATAGAAGGAGTTGATGTTCCTTGGCTTCAACAGTAAACAGGCTGTTTAATGCTCCAGCAGTTCCTAGTATGCTTCACAGATCTTGATCTTCATCATGCTGATTAGAAAAGTAGATACCCTTTTTAGAAATGCCTTTTGAGGTAGCCTTCTCAAAATCCACTACCTTCAGTGGTATGAAGGTTGTAATAAAAAGAACAAAATAGAAGAAATCCATTATTAAGGCCAATGTATAACCTGCTAACGTTATGACATGATGAGCACATGCTTTCACTTCCTATTACTTTTACTGGATCGAGGTCTTCATCATAGTGACAAGCATCTCAACCAACATGTGCAAGAGAAGCAGTAAGCAGCCTGTCCTTTGACAAGTGACAAACCTGATCAGCTGGGTCCTTGCGCGTTTTGCATCTCATACAGATCAGTCCTTATGTTTGTGCTGATAGTATTAGGGTAAGATTGGGTTTTGCGCTGGAGCTCACAATCATGCCAGAATTAAATCACTTTAGTGCTATAAATAGTAAAAACTTGCTGAAAATGCTGCATGGGATTCTGCAGCTCTTACTGGTTCTAATTAGTACCCGTCTTTTTAATCTCTACTGTTAGTTTCTGTCTAAGCTGAAGGCATGGTTTTGTTGAGGAGAGACAAACATGCTTGTTGTAAACTCCTGGTTTTATTTTTGAGTTGGCTTGAAAGATGGGAATGCTATATACAGCATTAAGTGACACTGGCACTGTTAGGCTGAGGCCATAACCCTTGCTGGTCTGTCGTTGGGAGGAGACACTCAATTCTCTCTGCCTTGCAGGAAAAAAATGCAGTCAAGGAACTTTCCATTGCTCTTGCTGTTTTATTTGTTTGAAGTGCTGCATGAATTAGCAACAATATTGTTCAAGGTTCTTGTTTTTCACATTATTTTCTGGAATCTGGTGGTGATAGAAAGGAAGAGACTTTTACCCCTGAAATAAGAAGTTTCTCAAAGAGTTCGGATTCCTGATGTCATTGTGCAAGTCTCCACATGAGTTTTTCTTTGCAGTTTTTTTAAGTGTGCATACTGCTGTTCTTGTGAGGAAAAGGCTGTGCTCTTACCCTGGATGTCTTTTACAGTCTAGATTAAGACTTGATAAATTCTGAAAAATGCTAGGAAGGGAGAGTGTTGGAGATGACAATGGTTTTAATTTTTTTTTTTTTTTTTTTTTTTTTTCCCAGTGAGGTTTCATGAATCAGACTGGGCTTTTAGGAGTTTCTTCTGAAGATGTACATGTTGATTGAAAACCGCACGAGTTCCCATCTTCATCTGAAGAGGTCACCTGGCATCCGATCATGGTCTCTCTTTGTTGGTAAGACCATAATATTCCTCAGTTTATTTCAGATCTTGCTTTAAGAGAAAGGGGTTACAGAATAATTTCCTGAAAGAGCCTTTAATAAGAGATGCCTGTCTTTGAAGCATTTTTTCTTTCAAGAAGAGGAGTTGTCATGGTTTGAAATTCTCCTTTTGCACATTAAATGAATGTGAAGTTTCTTCCTCAGTGTGGTAGTTTCAGTGTGAGACAGTGTCATCTGCAGAACCTCAGAGGCTTATGGACAGAATTTGAAGAGAGTCCTGAAAGATCAAGAAAAGAAAGCATCCAGCAGTATAAATGTGGAGCTTCTGAAGAGGACGTGTACTTACACTAAAAAACATTTAGGTTTTCAGAAACAGAAAAATCTGCAGTTGAATGATGTTGGGGTTAGATCTTCCGTGTGGTTGACAGTGAACTCTTAACGGCTCTGTGTGTGTGTAATAGGAAGTCATGCAGGATGTTCTGCAAGGCATCTGTTTTTAAACCTACTGAACATGAAAAAAAAAAAAATGGAGTGGTACTTCTTAGGGCCATACTGAGAGAGCTGGTGGGGGAAATGGCACATACCGTCTTCCAGCTGAGTAAATGCCATTGCGGTAATATCACAAAGTTGTCATCGCTTTCAGTGATGTCATTGTGTCAAACTGTCATAGAGACAAGATCTTTGCAGTTGCAGCAGCCCTCTGGGGCATGAGGCACCACTCTTCTGCTGCTTGCTCCTCCTCAGTGGGAGAAAGGAGCTGGCAGCTTCTGACGCAACTTTATTGGAGAAGTTTTCTTTTAACTCCATCGAGCGCTTAGAGGGGAAAAATAACTGTTGTAGTGTTTATGTTAGCGTGCTCCAAATTGTAGGGCGCTCAAGAGGAAGCATGGTGTAATGGTTAGACTGAGAGTCCCTCTGAAGCTCTGTTTCTGATTCTGTCACAGCCTTTTTATTTCTGACCTCAGTTCTTGTGCTTTTAGTGTTTTTGCAGAATGGGAGGGTTTTTATACTGAGTTCAGAGAAGAAATAACTGACTCTTTTATGTAGTGATCAGTATTGCAATCACATTTGTCCCTTTTTTGAAAAGTGATGAACTTGTGAATATTCATGTTTTTCATCAGGGAATTTTAGATGGTTTGGGCTGCTTGTTCTAATTTTCTCCCATCTCCTCCTAGGAATAGCCTCTATTGGTTTGGCTGCTGCTTATTATAGTGCAGGTAATGGCCTATAATTTTTTTGAAGAATTGTTTATTTCCTGTTGATCTGTTTTTCATGCCGATGACTCCTCTCTGCAGCTTCTGTCTGGCCTTACAAGGGCAGTATAGGAACCTATCACACTTTGTGGCACTAATACTAAAATCCAGTAGTAATTGTTGCCTGTGTATGACTTACCATGCTTTACTGCTCTGTTTCTTACTCAGCCTCCCTTTCCATTTGCAAGAGTATTTTTAATAATGGTATTTGGTAATTTCTGGCATTCTGTACTTTCAGAGTGTTTTATAAATGTGATTAGCTGGTCCTCAAAACTCTCCTGGGAAGATATATAATGATTGTGTGCCACCATAATGAAATGATTACCTTGCCTTTGATGGAAGTGCTCTGTTTCTCTGGAAACTGTTAAATCATCACTAGCAGAGATTACTCATAAAAACACCTTTAGAGAACAGACAGCTACTGCTGCTTCCTGCCCCCACTGCAGTAGAGCAGACTGCACCAAATGCCAGGTGTCCTTCCATCTATGGAATTTATACTGCAGGAATTTATCCTGTGATTCTCTTACTGCATCCTGTTAACATAAAATTTTATAACTTAATAGTGTGTAGGAATATACAACCAATATAATCGATATATTTTTATTTAAAGAGTAAAGTCCAGCGAAAGCTGCTTGATACAGCAGCTATATCAGCTTTTTTTCTTAAGACATTGCAACAAAGTTTTCTGAAACAATACTGAGCATAGTTTTACTCTGCTTTTAGTAAAAGCCCGAGTAAACAAATTGCTTAGACAGCTATATGTAAACATTTCCAGGACACAAAATGCAAATGTTTGTTTGTCGAGGGCTGACTTCTTCCTTTTATGAAGAAACACGTTTGCTTCAGTGAACTTCTGTTGTCCCTCACCCTTGTCCTCTGCAGCACAAATATTTGGTGGTTGAGAGCAGGTTGAGAGTTTTGTGGATGCCTTTCAAGATGCTTTGCTTTTAGGGAAGAGAAAGATGTGTAGTGATGTTACAACCTTGCCAATAATACATATGCTTATAATTCTGTATGGCTTGGAGGCCAGTGTAGATGGAGTCTTTGAAAAATATCTGAAGGGTTTCTGTATTTTTATCCTGGGACAGCTGTGAAATAACTTGTGTTACAATTAAAGGCGAAAATGTTGCATCAGAAAAACCTTTATTCCTTTTGTTGCCTTTAAAGGGAGCATGTTGCTTTTAAAGCTAACTGTTTGAATACCAAAGAAGGAAAAAAAAATCCCTAAATGTGTTCTTTTTTTTTTTTTTTTTTTTCACTGTACAGACAGCTTGGCATGGAAGCTCTTCTATATGGCCGGGTGTTTCTTTGTGGCAGCACAGAATCTGGAGCAGTGGGAGGTAAGACGCTGAACTTGGGAAATGAGGTTGTGCGAGTTTAGAAGCAGTTGGCAGCTGCTGACTCCAGCAGCCCTATGCACTTGCTCAGTCCAAACAGACAAGTTATGCTCCTGAGGGAACCCTTTGGGGTTGTTATACTAGGACTAGAGTTAGGGCAATAATTCTTTTATTGCCCAAGCATGAAAACATGAAGCTAAATGTAAGAGTATTTTTTAAGGGGATGCTTGCCCCAAGCTGTTTTGTGGCCTTTTCTTCCTCTAATGTAAGAGGGAGAAAGAATAGCACGTTCAGCTGCTACAACACAAGTTTGTACTTTCTGTTCCAGCTAATGACAGAACGACAACTAAATAGCGTAGCTCTAACCTTCCAGGCTACTCAGCTGGTTTCCTCTGGGAAAAGCGGTGTTTGTAAAGCTGGTTTATAATTTGTTGATGTTGATTTGTTTGGAGTTGGACTGAGAGCAATAACCCATTATCCAGACTTGTCACCTTGCTGACCCGAGTTGTTTTTAGAATAAGCAACCCACACATACAGGACATCTTCTTTTCATTAACTGTCAGTGATATTTTAAATCTAGTATAAGCTTGGCCCATGTAGCACAACACTGGTATTTGGGTGGAGTTAGTGACTGTGTTAATGAAAAGTGTAACTAGAACTTACCTTTGCGGTATACTTATACTGTAGGCCTGATGCCTACACCAACAGGGGAGATTTCAGGAGCTCCAAGTTAGTGTTCAAATTTGATTCCAGGCAAAGTTTTTGTTACATAAGGGGTGTGGCAAGAGGGGCAATGAAACCAACTTTAGCTTCCTTCTAGAGTTAACACAGAAGATATGGTAAAGTCTCTGTTAAAGCCAAGAGCAAGATGGTGATTTTTCACAGTCTAATAATAGAGGAATGTCTCTCAAATAGCTATGTATTTTTCAGTGCTACCAAGATTATTTTCCCATGTAACTATTTTTATTTTACTTTGAAGCATAGCTACTGATGCACTGATGATGTTTGAGAAAATCTTGATTTTTATTTTTCAATTTTACAGGAAGCTGTATTTGATAAGAACAAGGGAACAGTCTGCCTAAAAACATTCAGCCTTTACAAAAAAATACTGACCTTCTCAAAAGGAGGCAATGAACAAGGTGAGAAAGTAGTATCTGTGGTAGCAAATGTGGTGAGCAGATAGGAGAAATGCATACATGCCCATTTAAAGAAGCTTCTCGAGTTCTGTACTCAAATTAGTCACATCAGTTTCCAGATCTGCTTTGTTCTCAAGCATCAGATGTAATAAACTGTCTCTCAGGACCCAAATGTTTGGGGTTTTTTTCAGGTTAGGGTGTTGAATGCATCTTGTTAGTTATTTTAATCCAAGGTAGCTAGTCTTACACATTGCTTCCCATACTAGTCTTAGCCATTCCTTCGGGATGTTAGTGTGCAGGTGTACGTTTTCCCTAGCTAGCCTCCTTTGCAGGTGGGACTGGTGGAAAAAGTTAAATTTTGGAGCCAGGAGTTGCAATTTCTATAATCTGGTTTTGGTAGCAGGCAAATATTTAGATGCATGCAAGCAGGCATGTTATATCCTGTACATATATCATATGCATTTAAAACAGCATATTCAGTAGGCTCAGCTTAGTGCAGAATCTCTTTTCCTTTAAGCTTGTTGAAGTATAGTATGTGACTTGGTTGAGTCACTGTGAGAGAGGAGCTCCACTGCGAACTGAAGTAGGATCCTCTCCAATGCCAGATTTTTTTTTTGAAGTTCTACTTTCTAGTCTAAATCAAACCAACTCTCAATATGCCTAGAAAACTGACAAAATTTGGAATGTTCTTAAGGTGAACTGGTTTTTAAACAGTTCATTGTGGAGATGGGAAGATAAGAGATGTGGACAGAAGGATGTTTTAATGGTTTTGAACTTTTCTTTAGTGTATGTTTGTGTGTTGGGGAGCTGACCACATTTCTTCCCAAGAGGTTGTTTGGTAATTACTATTTCAAGTAGCATTAACGTGAGGATGCAGAGATCAGCAGATACTCTAAACAGTTAAACTTTTCAGTATTTGTTCAATCTCCGTAAACTTCAAATCTGTTAACTATTCTTCTGTACAGAGTAGGTAAAAACTGTCATTATAGTATGTGGGAAACATAAGTAATAAACTAATGATCCCCAGCTCCTGGGAGGCAGTGTATCTTGTTCGTGAGGGCCTGTGCAAGGTAATAGGTGCTGTAGGCTCTCCCTGTTTGCGTTGCCTGAACAGCTCAGCAATTGTACGCTGTTGGGGGACTGCCCCGGCTGTACGGGATCAGAGCAATAGTCCTCAAGGGCATGGAGTCCCAGTCACGCACGTCACTAGTAGCGGTGCAGAGAGTTTACTGTATTGCTAACACACTGTTTTGTTTTCTACATCTGCTTACAGTTGTGGCTCTACTGAATGAGATCCGAGATGTGAATGTGGAAGAGGAGACTGTGCGCTACTTTGGGAAGGGTTACCTGGTTGTGCTACGATTTGTCACTGGATTTTCCCACCCACTGACTCAGAGTGCAGTGCTGGGCTGTAGAAGGTGCGGTGTGGACTTTTTTGAAAAATTAGAATGTATAAGGTGGGAAATACCGATCACGTGGGACAGTAATTGCCAGCTGTGGAGACTCATCTTAGCTCCATTTTCATACTTGCTGATATGATCTTGTGTTACTCAGTTTAACTTTTTTAAACCCTTTGCTTTCAATTGCAGATATTTGGGTAACACCGACTCACATCAGGAGACTGATCGCATTTAGATACCCACATTCCCTGTAGTGCTGCATGTCTGCTGTAGTTACATTCACTAGTTCAGCTGTGCAATCGCTGAGGGGATTCATTCTATTTTGCAAACATTCAGTGTATTTATCAGTTAACAGTGGATTTATTTTAAGCATCAATAATACGGAATCTTGCAGCAGGGACTGTGGGAAAAGGAGAGATTTGTTCTGATGTGGAATTAATGGCTTGGCTTGATATGCCTTCACAAGTGGGATGCTGTCAGTCATACTCTATGCCATATGTTGACTGGCCCTTCAAGCAGTTATTTTTAAGCATTAGTGTGCCTGTTCTTGTTTTGTCAACACCACAGTTCCACTAACTCTTACATTGTTTCTTCTTTTCCACAGTGATGTGGAAGCAGTTGCCAAACTCATTACTAGTTTTCTGGAACTGGACAGAGTAGAGAGCCAACAAGATCTCTCTCAGAGCAGCGAAACAGAGGCTAGTGATGCAGATGAACCACAGGATAAATATTAATAGTCATCATGAGCTGAAGAAAGCGGAGTCTTTCAAACATCTGGAAAATACACTGATTTTTGTTTGGCGAAAGAAATCCCTTACAATCTTGACCTGGGCATTTCTCTACATGTGCACTTACAATGGGAAGAATTTCTCTTAGGGCATCTTTTCTAGTGCTAAACTGCTTCAGGGTCCGTGCTCCCCGTATTGCTGCTGTAGAGTCCAAACCAATTTCTGCTTTATTTGCTCCTTTGCCTTAGTTCCTGTATGTGGACACTGCCAGCTTTTGAACTTTGTCAGCTCGTCAAACTTCTCTAGGAATAGTTATTTATTAATTAATCGGTTTGAAATCATTTAATGCTTTCCAATAAATGAAGTGGAGATACAGATGTAAACTGCCACTTACTGCGAACATCTGCTGCAGGTACAGTATATGAAATGTAGAAGAGCTGAATTTGTAACTCATAACACAATGCTTTGAGGCTTTTCTTGAAGTGTTATAAATGACTGAATATATTGCTAAATTGGTTTTAAGCAGCTTGATATATGCAATTAGGTGATGCAGAATAGTGGCGTTTTTATATTTTCTACTACCGACTTGCCATTAGATACTAGTGGAAATTAAAGATTGAGTGACTGTCTGGGAATTGAAAACATCAGGTTGATGATTCAACATCTTTGGAATATTCTAGCTTAATCCTGCTCTACTTAACTTTTGGGTATAGACTACCCCAAAATAGAATAACCTTTTTCTAGACCTCAACATTTACTATTTTAACTGTGTATTTAGAAATGAAGAAAAGCACATCTGTTACTTTAGGTAGGGGGAAGGCTGATGTCAAACAATGTGGTAGCCTAGATTTGTTGAGTATTTCCTCATCTGAAATGATACTGAAGTGCTAAATAATAATATTTTTAAGATAGCTGGGATAGATTTGACTTGTACCCATGTTTTACTCCAGGTGCATAGTGTCCGCTGTTCTGACTAAGGGTTTCAGAAATAGTTAAAATATTAATTTTCCAAGATATTTTTTATGGAAAAGCTACCTCTGTTAGTCAATATGTTCTATTTGGAATTAAAACTTCATCATGCCTGTATCAACATGTCAGTACAAGAGAAAAGTTGTAAAGAAGTGAAAGTTCCTTCAACATGCTAAAACTGCTTGTATTAAAGTTTGCTAGGTTTTATTTAGGAATTGTGTGGTTTTAAGGCCTGAATTAGAAAGTACTGACACAGTTACTTCTGGGAGATCTGACTGGGGTACAAGGTAACTGTGTGGTCTGCTTTTACCTTTGGCCAGCAGCAAATGTCTTCTGGCAGCAGTTTCTTCAGGACTTAAAGGAACTTGCATTCTTGTTTCAAAGCATTCTACCTCTATAGAAAGACAGCTATGGAAAGATTTCAGCAGAAGGTACGTTCTGTTGTGTATTCTGTCTATATCTGAAACTAAGCATGTGTTTATCTGACCAAAGAACAGGCTGTACCAAGATTTCACTTGAGCTGTGAGACAAAGGTGCTTTTACTGTCAGTTCGAAAGGGTAATCAAGCTGTAACAGGGAGACAGCTGTTGATGCAGCTTGGCTGCAGCACAGAAGTGGGTTTATTTCTATTAAATAAGTAAAGAAACTTGTCATTGCATCAGGTTCCACAGCAGACCTCTGCCAATAGTCATGCTTGTGAAGTCCTCTGAGTTGGTGGGCTAATCGTGTGGCTTTCAATCTCTGTCCCACATAGCTGGAACTGGGAAGCTGCTATGTATGAATGTGGGAAAATTAGGTTGCAGGCAATTAGCTAAAGTTGACCTTTATTCTGAAGCACAGCTGTAAGCTAATAATCATCAAACCTGCTTTAAAAAAATACTGCAGGGTGTAATGCTTTGGAGAGCTCTTAATTTAAATCCACTGTAATATATACCCTAGGTGGTGCTCATTTTAGAGAGAGGAGAATGAGATGGGGAATTTGGAGAACTTCTTTTCCCCCACTGTGTAAAGTGAGAATGTCAGGTGTTACAGGGACTTCCAGTAAGAAATACTGAAAAAAAACATAGTATTTAATGGTACAATGAAAGCAAAAGGGCTCAACCTGCTGCTTTGTAGCCAGGATATTTAGAGGGAATGCATGGTATGGGTCTTCATTGCACTTAAATTCTTAGCCCGCAGATTTGAGCATGGATGAGATGGACAAAACTACCTGCATTCAATCTTGGCTATATTGGGATTCTTTATTTCCACGAGGGCTAACATTCCGTGGAAGAGACGAACCATGCTGTGGTTTTCCAGTTAAATCAGCTTTAGAAAGGTACATCTGTTGATCTAGCCCTACACTGCATCCTGTGCTCTGCTTCTGCTTTTGTTCTTTTGTGCATCTAGCTTGCTGTACATTCTTGACATTAGTAACATATATTTATGGACTATGCAAGAATAAAACAATGTAAGGAAAATTCAGAATCCCTGGAAAGAAGAATGACCTAACAGATATAACCTGAAATACATTCTGTGAAATAAGTTGCATTTTGAGTTTATGTCCCAATGATGGTCTCTTTAAAGATGTTCTGTTGTGTCCCCCTCGCACCCGAGTATCCTCTTGGCAGTGGGCAGGAGTGGGATGGCTGCTGGCATGCAGTGTGTGTCTAGGAGGAGTGTTTTGACTCCTCAGCCTTTCACTTGGAACAGCTGGTGTGATCCTTTCTTCTCCTTTCCATTTTCCACTTAGCAGCCCAGTCGCCATACAGACTAGTACAGTTTCAGATGGGAACACGAGTTCCCTAAGACTGAGCTAACATGAAGGGGGACGGAGTAAATTCTTCAAATGCTGTGGGTTCTGCCTGTGGGCTGTATGTCATGCACTGCCAGCTGGTACGGACAACAGGGAGCCTTGTGATGCTGACCTACAGTGCAGGTAAAGGATGTTTGAACTTGGCAGTTGGATGCTGCACGTGAATGTGTATTACAAGCTGATGTATATATCTCCTGATCTAGGTTTTGAGACTCCTGTCTTCAAAAACTGTTGTGTCTTTTGTACTTGGAAGACATAGCCAAATTTTCATGTTTTGCAGTAACCGTGCATGGAAAATGAACTCGCAAATTGTTGTTAATGTGGATTTGGTTCTGCCAATGTCTGTGGACTCCTCGGCAATGTGATGCAGCTTGAAGGAACTGTCTAGAACAGCAGGTGCTAACTCCAGACAGGTTCTGTTCTCTTGCCACTAGTCCTCTCTCTGATCTTCTTTTCCTGTCCCTTTTCACCATTTTGCTGAAGGCTTTGGATGGTTTTCCTCACTTCTCTCAGGCCTAGCATACTGAAAGGCCCAGTAAACGTAGCCTTGTGTGTGCCTCGTGTAAAGTGGCTTGTACTAAAAGGAATCATGTGAAAAACTAGTTTTGGTTAGGAAAGTAGGTAATCTGAGAAGAGTATTACAGATGTATTCATGCAGGTTTTTGCATCTCAGGATGTCTAGCAGCTTGAGGCTAGACAGCTCTAATTTGACTTTTAAATGATTTGAAAACCTGCATAAAAGATGTTAATTTAGATCTAACCTCCTACTCCATAAAGCCAACACTTTCTATTATGTCCTTTAGTACAGCTGTATTCTAAGCGCCATTTGGCAGATGCTTCAGCTTAAACTTGAGTAGCACATCTGACCTTGCACGTATGGGGTTGGATGGGATCACGGCCTTAGCTGTCAAAGGGAGAAAGTTGCATCATCTAAACTATGATCTAATATTCTGATATTTCACAAAATGAGATACTCCTGTAACCAGGATCAACTGGGCAAGCCTCAAAGAAAAATCCAAATATTTATACCATAAAGCTGAGATCTGACTCTTGTGCTGTATTTATGAAGCTACATAGATATCAAAGCCTAAGCTGGCTTACATAGTAAAGTGCACTAGTTCTGATACTGTACTTAGATTGCTGTGAGGCAAAAATAATTCTGGAAAATGTTTAGAAATTGCTTTTCTACTTTAAAACTGCAAGTAGGTTTTCAGCAAGGCCTTGTATGTTGTCAATTTAAATAAGAGGTCCATTGATAAAATCAACTTTGATAAATTGTTTTGTGTCACTGTAGTCTTTTTTAATGGTTTTTAATTAAAATGTTGATGGTTGATTAAATCAGCCCTTGGCACACACCTACTGAAGGAGTCAATGGGGGGAGGACAGAACAGCAGAGGCCTGAGCACCCAGCTCCTTACTGACCCTGCTTTCACTTTTACTGTAATCTGGCTTTCAGTTTCATATAAGCTAATATAACCAACTCTTCCCTGGTGAGTGTATTTACGTTTTCTCCCCTTTAAACCAAACCAAGGTGCCACATGCAAAACAAAGGCAAGTTTCCACAAACATTTTGAGTAGCAAAGTATTTATTAAAGCAAAATAAATTAAAATCTTTAGTTCAAGGTATGTGACCTTTGTAATTAAGGTATACATAGCAATTGATTCTTTTAAAATAAAAATCCATATGTGGACCTAACTCCTGTAGCTCTCATTTAAATAAGATTTGTCTTATGCTGTACTTGTACTTTCTGTACCTAGAGCTATACTCTTTATTATAATAGATGGTTCCAATGAAATTTCAATACCTGTGCTTCCAAAAGAAGACTTTCAAGAAAGCAATAAATGAAGCAAACAAGTAAAGAACATTTTGAATATTCGTAGTAGTGTAGTTAACTAGCAGGCTTTTGAATTACTTTCCCTTGTAATTATCTTAATGGTCCAGTTAAGTCCATAAAATATATTGCTGTACACTATTAGAAGTTCAACATTAGAGCAGACTAAAACTTCGCCTTTTTCTTATAGTCAGTAGACTTGAGTTATGCTTCAAACTTAGATTAATCTGCAGTCTCACTCAGGTTTTACAGAACCTTAAACTGACTGGGATGGTGCTTTTCTGCGGGGATGAAACTAGGCTTAGTTTAGATGATGCACTGGTAAAAAGCCAAGCCCACTGTGTTAAGGCAGTTCTCCCTCAAAGTCCAAGTGTCACCTTCACTATTGGTAACAGGGTCCTTTTCTGGAGCTCCCTCTTGTGCTGTACTGTGACGGTACGTGTCCTTTTTCATCCATGTGCTGTAAGCTTGGGAGCATCTAGACAGCAGTTCCTTGCTCAGACTTCTGCAACAAGTCATATGTTAATTCCCTGATGCCAAGCTAATCAGAGCTGGATTTAAGACCAATTGTTTGACGTATTTCCAAGACTAAAAAAGTCCAAAACAAAATCTGGAACAAGTCAACTGCTCTATGTTGTAGAAGGACTTTTCCTGATGGAACAGGACACATCTCTGAACACAGTACAGAACATAAGGACCTAAAGCACGTTTAAATGATCCTGAATCTCTCTTTTTATGGAAATTGCAGAGGGAGGACATGTTGGCTCCTGACCAGAGTAGAACTTGTAGAACTTTTCCAGGTCATTGTTATGTAAGAAAGTCTATTACTACAAATACTGAATTTGGAAGAAAATGGGTTTTTCTCCTGCCTTGTATTATAGCTCTTGCAATCTGTTATGCAAGGGGAGCACATCTGACTTAGAGGGCAAGTGACTAAAGGCTCAGCAATGTGTTAAGACAGGAAAATTAAAATAGAGTTGAAGCCTATCATGCTAACAAATTCCTTTATGCCTTCAGGTCACTTATGTTTAATCACGGTTCTTGCTTCAACTCTCAAGATGACAAACTGTAGCTCTATGTCTAGTTGCTGATTTCCACTAGCCCGGTTTTGTCATGGAATAAGACAAGCTAATTGAAATGCCCCTAATTCTGTGCTTTTATTGCTTTATCTAAATCATCCACCACCTGCTGCAGCTTCTGTAGGCTGGGGTGGACGTTCTCCTCCATCCACTCCTCTACAGTACACTTGTGGAAAACTTGCTCCATGGCTGCTTGGAGGTCTTGCACCACACCATTCCATTTGGCAAGAAGACTAAGCAGAAATCAGAAGGAAGAAACAATCACATTTGCAGGTGGGCTCTGCCACAAGGGAGAGCTAGCTTACTGAGTCTTTTAAAGGGAGTACAGTCCTTAAAATGACTTTACAGGAAAAGCAGCATCTATTACAAGAGCTCAAAGGACTCAATTTTGTGCAGATGGCAGAAGATTGATACTGTTTATGTTTCAGTGCCATTAATCTTAGCACTTTCCTTTTGCAATGACTTTTAAAGTACTGAAATGTGAGCTCAAAAAAACACTACACACATTTTAAGTGTAACTGAAACCCACTCTGAGACTTGTTGTGAATTTAATTCTGTGTTTTATCAGGAAGAGTAGATGCAGTCAGATGTTCACCTTATCACAGCAAAAAATGTATAAATTAGCCATTTAGCAGGAATTGGCATAATGTCTGCAACAAGTTCTGAAAAGCACAGGGGGAGTGGGAGCAGGGGAAGGGGCCTGATTTTATCCCAAGCCCTGCCTGGAACCCGGCCTGGGGCGAGCTCCTCCACTGCTGTGAGATGCAGCAGGTCTATAGGGGAGTAACTCCAGCTACAAGGAGAGTTTTTTGGAGACCAGTTTTGTACTTGTATTCAAAGAATTTGTTCAATGGAAGGCAAAGATAAAGGTGTTCTGTTTTAAAAATATGAGTACTTCATATTGCTTGGCTTCTGATGCTTCTGAAATAATTACATAAAGCAGCAAGGACTCAAAACTGTACGTATTTCAGTGCACCAAATATGACAGACTTTCTTTCCCCTATAATGAAAAACAAGCAGAGTTACCTTACTGCATCTGGCTGAAAGTGATGCATTATTATAGGGTGAATAATCTTCCTTTTTCTGTGGTAGGGGCTGAACCAGCCTGTGACATATCTGAAAACGGATGTTAGTATGAGCAGTTATTGAAACAGCAGTGATGTGTGTTTGCAGGCTGCCAGGGAGGTGATAGGGGCTTTAACTGCACGGCACAAAGAGAGATAATGCTCAAAGAGTAAGTAAATTTAAGTCTCCATATCTTTGGAACTAGCTTGTAAAAAACTGTTCCTGGCAGAGGAGAATAACTGATAATCTGCTACAATTCAAGTTTTATTTCAAGCTCTGTTTTTTGTAACTACACCATCAAAAATTTTCATTTTAACAGCAAGATTTAATTCAGGGAAGAACTAGATTCTTGAAACAAGGCAGTGCATACTATTTAGGAATTCTACTGAATTATTTTAAATTTGCATTTAAATATTATGTTCTGCTGAGGTGTCAATATATAGGAATGTGATGCCTGAAAGGCAGAGCTTGATGCTTAAATCCCTTTGCTGGAGTTATACCCCATTTTGAGATAACGCTTCAATGCTCCTGCACACAGCCAGCGAAGCAACATAAACCTCATTACCTGTTCCTGTCAAGAAGTTCGTCCACTGATGGCTTGAGGTAGAAACTAACTTGCGCCACAAGAGTAAGGATATCACTCCCAGGAAAAGTCCCCGGACTTGTGCTGCCCAAAAAGGATCCGTTAGTTTCCGAACTTACCGCACAATGAGAAGCATCTGAACCCTGCAGCTGGAGTTTTACCTTATGAAAGTATCAGTTTCCAGGCTGGACATTCCCAGGAGCTTTTCCACATTTTCTTTAATCTTTTCAGAATAACCACCTGACAGAAGACAGTGGAAATAAGTAAGAGATGCCTGAATACACAAAATGTTCATAAAAGAGGGTTTTTCCGGAGTACTGTGCATTGGTTCAGCAGTTCTCCTTGGATGAAGATTTTTTAAAAGGTAAAATGGAAACAGAACAAGGGAAAAAATTTGTGGGTGGGAATAGTCTCTCAATCAATTGCCTTGTGCTGGGTAAAGCACTTCCTAGCTAGGAGCTTTCCATTTGGGGTGCTGAGTATTTTTAGTGCCTTAGTTAAAAACTAAGAAATGCAAAAAGACAAAAATTCTGTTGGCAACTGCCAGTAAAGAAACCACAAACTACAGGAAGTATTTTATCAGTCAGTGTACTTCCTGAATCAATTTTAAGAAATTGGTTAGTTAAAACAACTTTTACGTGTAAATCTAAATGAAATTAGTCTCATTTATATAGTCGTAGTGTTTCAAATCAGTTTAGCTTAATTTTTTTTTCAGTATAACCATGAAGAAGTTTGTGACCATTCGAACATAACAAATGATTAGTATACTATGGCTACTTTTAAATACCTAGGTCAAGAGGCTTCTCTGTTCCCGTATCTCAAAAATGCAGTATGTATAACTCATTGTTTGTAATTCAGGCCACAATCAGATAGTCAAACCACCCCAAAATATAGTAAGCCTGTGTCAACCTTAGGGCAAGGTCACCGTGCTCTTGTGCTAGGCATTAGCTGAGAGAGAATAAACTTGTCATTGTACCATTCTTTAGTGTCTGCAGACATACAGCCAATGATGGAATTGCCACAGGGAGAAGCTCACACAAAACAGAGAAGTGATCATACCTAAATAAGAAAACATTCATTATTTAGACATTTTACTGTTAGAACATCCTAGACAAGTGGAAAATTTTGATATTTCAATCACTAAAAATCAAAGAGCTTTAGGAACATCAGCTTCTGTCTCAGAGAAAGGATCTTCTATGAAACACTAAGTAGTCCTGTTTTACTAATAAGAACAGGTGAAAAACAAATTACTTTCTCAAGCCCACTTAGGGTCAGAAATTGGAATTCAGCTCTCTGGTATTCCTCTGAGACCTCCTGACTGTTGCATAAAAACCTTTTACTCCTTCATTACTTTAACAAGTTCTTCCCTCTTATGCAAGTTCATTCTATCTGAATTCACATCAGACATTCAGATATATACCATACATTAACTATGCTGTCTAAAAGCAGTTCAAGGTGGCACAAAGAACATTCCAGCCTTCAGATCCAAGCTGCTGCTGGTGGTGGTGTCTGCCAAAACAACTGCTCCTGCTGATTAATGCTGTGGCAGTTGACTGGAACTCTGAAATCCACCCTTTGTAGTCAGTGGGTGAGGCCCAGCAGTAACCAACAGAAAGGATTGCAGGGTTGCAAGGTTCCCTTCTAAATCCCCAGCCTCCTTGTACCTCTTTGGGAGTTTCTGGGTGGAAGTTTGCCTCCACGCAATCCTTGGGACCATTGAAAAGGATGTTCCTTACCTTTGCCAGCCAGTCAGCGCGATACCTTCAAGGACATCAGTGGGACTATTGCTTGCCACTTCCAGCCACTGAAGATTGTTTTTTAAGTGGTGTCCAATAAGTGTCAGAGACTGGTTCACTCCTGTAGCTCCTTTAAAAGCACTAGCAAACCACACCTTGGAAAAGCCACATCTATGATACTTCTCAACGAGATGCACTGCAATAAGACACAAAACAACACTTACAGGACAAGTTTTTGTCCATTTTCAGCCTTGACTGTAATGCTCCAATTCAGAGGAACCCAGGGCTGCTTACAACAGGCTGCTGAGCCTTGTCCCATCAAGTTTTGAGCACCAGCAAGGATGGGAGATTTGACATCCTCTCTGAGCAACCCGTTTTGGTGAGTGCCCTCCTCTTTTCAGGTGCTGAGTTGCTATATTCCATTCCCTTGAATTGCTAATTGCTTCGATGTTAAGAGCTGTGGGCATATACTGAGCATGCACATCTGACAACTGATTCTTCTTTCAACAAATAAATATCTGTACCCATGTTAGATGCCTGACTGGAGCCTTTAGGAATTCTTCCTTTTAATTCTATAGATGTGTGAGGCCTTGAGGCTTCTTTTGCAGACCTGTTCAACACTGACCTATTGGCTCCCACCGGTTTTAATGCAAGCAGAGTTAATAGAACAGTGCTTGTGAAAAACTTCTCGGTCTCTCATCAGCCCTGTTGAAAAGAATTAAGCAGCAGACAATGCAAGTCCTTCATAGGAGAAGCATAAATTGAAAAAGAAAGGAAACAATAGCAACTCTTATGGGAGATCAAACAAGGGCTATGTTTGTGCTATTAAAGCAATAACAAAATTTAACAAAAATACAATTTTCTGGTGTACAGCTAAGGTACATTTTCATTGCACTCTTTCGGTTTGGCTATTTTGCTTAACAGGTAACAGAGCTCTTTGCTTCTCCTAAACAGCACAGCAGAGAAGTACAAACCTTTGCCCTCCACGTCCAGGTCAGCTGCATAATCCCAGATCATTGGCTGCACAAGCTGTGGGACCCCAGACTCTGAAAGGAACAGAGGTCTTCTCATTAATGGAAAACAAACCGTTAGAAGTGAGAACTAAGTACATATTGTTGGTGCAGCAGCACGTGACTAGAACTTTGGCTTGTCACTAGAATTCTTCGATTGCAGTTGAAGTGCCCCTGGGCACTTTCAGCCTGGCCAGGGCTTTGAACACTCAGGTTCCCGTGCCAGGGACCACCAAGTCCTTAGACATCTTGAAACCACTAATATGGATCAGCAGGGACAATTCATTGGAGACTCCATCCCAAGCCCATCTCATCCTTAGTCCCCTGAATCTACTGGTATACCTAACTGGGTTGAACTGGTGGAGTTGCCAACTTTATACACAAGATCTCAGCTAAATTCAAAGGAAATGTTTATCCTTTATGTCAGAGATTGACTGAGCTGTGTGTTTACAGAACTTAGCTTTTCAAGATGTCTTTAAAGGACAAATAAAGATACAGGTTTAGCTTCAAACCCCTTCATAATCAACTCCCTGACTAGTTTTAAGCATGAGAAACCAACCCCTAGATAAAAGGCAGTGCATTGTACAGAAAATCAGTATTGTAACAGCATCCCATTTTAATTTGTTCGGCCTGTAGCAGTAGAGTGCACTTAGCTAGCTGCTGAGCTGCTCTTGAGGAAACTGTATGTGTCCCACCAGCTTTTTTTTTTTTATAATTTCTCATATTAATTTCTAAAGTCATGAATAGGTCAGTCACTGCTGGGGAAGCTACACAGCTCTTCATGGTATTGTCTAAATTTGTGTAAAGCAGGCATGTAAGGCTCTGAAAATGCTGGAACTCCATCTATGCCAGGACTACTCACATTTTAGAAGTGATTTCACATTTTTCAACAAACAAGACTCGTGATGCACTATGATCACATATACTGTCAAAGATGCTCACAGAGTCACAGCTTCTCCATGCGAGTCTGTACCACTGGAACCAGATGCTGCACAGAGCAACAACTACCATTAGAAGGTGGTGAGAGGCATAGCAATTTAGACTGAGACCACAAATGCTAATAGTTTTGGTTTTTTAATGTGTAAAGAAAGTAGAATTGATGGTCACCGCTGCATGATGACTGTTTTGTTTGTCATTGTGTATTACCAGATGGAAAACTAAAGTGTATGTGCTAAGACTTGCCCACAGTCATACAGAAAGTATGTGACACAGCCAATGACTAAATATCTCTAGTCTAATGGATAATATATCAACTATTATCAGATTTCTTGTTTTCATTATTTTCATCTGCCAAAAAAATCTGGTTTAACTGGTTGTGTAAACCTTTTCATATGCTACAAAGTATGACTCACCCCATCACTGGTCACACACCTGCCAATGTTTCCTCACTTATCCCTCTGAGCATATCATCCCACACGATGGGCGTCACAGCGGGGTAGGATGAGGCCACACAACTTGCAACTGCTTTTATGTGGGATAAGCACAGCTTCTCTGGGGTGTTGTCTTGTTGCTGCAGCCACTGCTTTGACTCCTCTCCTTCGCCCAGGTAGTAGACCTGAAATATCAGGCAAATAATCCTGAATTCTTTCACAGGAACGTCCAAAAGTGGCCGCAGTGTACTTGGTCCTATGCAGGAAGTGAATCTGGGCCTGTTAAGATGGATATGTCTTTGTTGTCCTAGAGCAGGTTTTATCTAAAACACATTTATTCTACCTAAGTAGTACTTTGCTTTATAAAACCTCGCAGGTCCCTGTTTAACCTTGCCATTTGTTCCCAAACAACAAGATTCAAAACGCCAAACTCATATCAGTAGTTAAGGTGATCACAGTAAATTTCAGGTATCTACATGCCACAGGGATGTTCTCAAGAAGCCCTGAGAAAGGAGAAAACTCAAGGTTCTCCTCAAGGAGACAGACTACCAAGAGAAAAAAAAAAAAAACAAACACCACACTTCCCACCACGAAAAGGCTTACTTTGAATAAGCTGGCCAGAATAACGAGCCAACACCTTATATCAAAACTCACATGATTCTTAATGAAGACCTCCAATTGATATCTCACTTTACTCATTTGACCTAAAACCAAATGCTGAGTTAGCTTTAAGAAGCTACTTTCAATATTACACTCAAATCAATAGAAGTGACATCCTGTGCTACTGGAATAATTTACTGTCAAAACAACTTTTCTACACTGGCTCGAATTGGTGTTTTCTGTCCCCAAATCCCAGTCAGACATGGCCTAGGCACCACTGAAACACAGAAGCCTTGGCCCTTACCATCATTCCCCACAAGAAAAAGATTCCTGTCTCAAGAGAAGTCCCACCTCATCGCATCCGATGTGAAACCATTTTAAGTCTTCGTGTAGTGCCATGACTTGGTCAATCATGGCTTTGACCAGCACCCGCGACTCCTCCTTGTGTGGATTGAGGGCATTGGGAAACACCTTCACCTCTCGGAGGTGAGCGAACTCTTTGTGCTTCAGCACAAACTGCAAGAGAAAAGGGAGCTTAGGGCAGAACTGCAGAACGGAGGGGACAGCAGCGTGCTCCTGCGTCACCAGGGCTCTGCTAACGGTTGTCCTGCTAGAACCTGGGTTTTGGCTGTGTGTGAGCACAGGGGACTGTCTGAGGCCTCTTGCCGGGCTGGCGCAGGCAGGAGGTCTCTGACCACGAAGCATTTCACAGGGCAGTCACAGCGGTGTCACCCTGGGGTCCCAACAAGCGTGGATCCAGATAACCAGCGTGCCGGGCGTGTTACAAGAGACATTTCCCAAGGAAGCCACCCCCTGCGCTGCCGGAGCCGCTGCTTCCCGCTTGCCCAGCGCTCCCAGTCCAACCCAGTCCTCCCAGTCCTCCCAGCCGTCGAAGGAGCGACGCCGCCCTCCCAGCGCTCACCTCCATGTGCCCGAAGCTCTGCACCAGCGGCACCACCTCCAGCCCCTGCGCCCTGGCCTGGCTCAGCACCGCCCTCAGCTCGCCGAGGCTGCGGGGGCAGAGGGGGCCGTGAGGGCGCGGGGCGGGCGGCGCGGCGCCCCCCGACCCCCCCCGGCCGGTACCTGTAGGCGTGCGGGGCCCTCAGCCGCGCCAGCGGCCCCGCGTAGGGGAACGTGTCTTCGTACTCCAGCAGCAGCCCGGTAGCGCCCAGGGCGCGGAGCAGCGGCAGCACCTGAGCGGCGGGAATGCCTTAATGTAGACCTTATTAACCTCATTAACCTTATTCACCCGAAGGGCCTCACCTCCGCCAGGTACGGGGCGCGGGGCGGCGCGCCCTTCATGTCCAGGTGCACCAGCCGCCGCCGCGGCCCGCTCGCCTCCATGCCCGCCGCATGCCGCCGCGCCGGCCTCGATTGCTCCCGGCTGCGTGGGCGAGGTTGGGGGCATCGATTGCTTTGGCCTGCCGCCGTGACTCCGACATAAAGCGCTTGGCCGCGTCCTTTTATTTCGATGTTGTTCCCCCCCTTTTTCCCCCCACCCGCCTCGTTTCGGTGCTGATCTCACCGCCACCCCCCGTTTCGGTGCTGCCCCGCTGCTCTCGGTTCTCTAGCGGAATTTTCCCACCAGCCGGTCTGCAGCGCTTTTTCTCAGCGGCCGACTGCTTTCCCCTGGCAGGCGGGCGTGGGGCGTCCCGAGCGCATCGCTCCGTGCCGCGGGGCGCCATGGCCGCGCAGCGCAGGGCGGCTCCGCGGGGCCCCGAGAGCGGCGGGACGGCGGCGGGGCCGGGCCGCGGGGGCCGCCGCCACAGCGGGTACCCGCCGGGGCTCGGGGCGCTGGCTCAGCGGAGCGGCGGCGGCCGCTGGCCCGAGGGGTGGCGGCGCCCGGGTCCGGCGGCTGAGGGGAGCGGCCTGCGGCAGCGCCGCCGCCGCCTGTGGGAAGGCGGCCCGTAATCTCCGGGAATGGAAGAGGGATAAAAACAGCGTGTGTCTAAACACGCGTGTCTGTACTAAAAACAAGGGGTTAGTCGGGGTACTGGCCCTTGGTGGGGTCTCCCCGGTATCGGGTGGTGAAGCGCATCCTGGCGGGGGGGGGGGGAGCGCGGTGTTCGCTTACCGGGACTGTTCTGCTCCCGCTGCAGCGCCAGGAAGAGCAGAGCCCAGCAAGAGTCACGGTGGAGGTGGCTGAAGACAGCGTTCCTCCTTCTCTCGGCTGCCGGCGGTGGCCTCCTGAGCTGGAGCTGCCTGAGCGCTGAGGATGGGGTCACAGAGGTGCTGGCTGGCCGCAGCGAGAACCTGCGGGGCAAGTTCATTGAGATCCCCTGCTCTGAAGACTATGACAGCCACAAAAGATTTGAAGGTATTTGGATAGGATTGTCTGAAGTGGGGTGAAGCAGTCTTCAGAGGACCCTGACAGGCTGGCTGCTCTTAAGTCTGTTAAACCACATGTACACCGCCAAACTATCGTGTTTCGAGTGAACACCTCGTCGCTGTGTGTATTGTTGAAATCCCCAAATGTTCATGCCTCTTGGGCCAGTCCAGAAGCTGCTGCATCTGGGAGGTGTTTCAGTCATTTCTACATAATTCTCTTCTGAAGTGCTTTGCTTAGGCTGTGTGAAATAAACCTTTTGCTAAGTCCATTTATAGTGTCTCTTCATACTCCATTCATTCCTGTGGTGAGTTTGTTACTAGTAAATACCACACAGGGTTCCATGGAATGGAGCTGATTTAGGATATTGTCTGTGCTGCCAGTGTGTGGTAATGGCCCAAATACCAGCTTCTGGTATTCCATGCTTTTGATGCTTCCTGCAAAGCATTTCTCTTCCATTTGCCTTTCAGCTGAGCTTGTTGGTATTTGTCTCCCCTGGCACTCGTTTCTTTGGAGTGTTGATGTTGGATCTTATAGAGAAATGGAAGATGTTCATCCTCTCTGGAGAGCAGTGAAACAGTTGTAGTTTGCATGGATAAGCTATGCTGATGTTCTTTCTCAGATTTTCAAAGTGTATCTTGATGAACATTTTGAGCTGGTACTGCTGCCAGAGAAGCTTTGCTCTTGCTTTTTGTCAGCCTACCTGCATGTCTAGCTGTGTGTTGACTGATAAGCTATTGCATCTAAACAAACAAACAACAAAAAGATAATTCTGAGTTAGTTTTTAGCCAAATCAGTTGTCTTATCTGGTTTGTTATGTGGCTGACAAAACACTTGGTGACGCAGAGCTGGAGGGAGTGTGGAGGCTGGAGTTGTGGCTGCTTGGAGCTGAGGAAGAAGAAAGGTGATCAGGGGCCTGGAGAACCTGCCCTATGAGGAAAGACTGAAGGAGTTAAGTCTCTTTTCTTGAAGAGAAGGCTGGGGGGGCGGGGTCTTAGAACAGTCCATATCACAGTATTCCAGTACTTAAGGGGCAGGTACAAAGGGGATGGAATCTCTCCCTTCACAAGGAGCCACGTGGAGAAGACAAGGGGCAATGGGTACAAGTTGCACTGGACAAAGCTTCATCCTTATCTGAGAAAGAGAATTTTTTTACAGAGAGAACAGTCAGTCACTGGAACAGCTTCTGCAAGGATGTAGCAGAGCCGTTGTGATTGGAGGTTTTCAAGATTCAGTTGGATGGGGTGCTAGGTAATCTCACCTAGGCTCTCTTTCCCATGAAAGGCTGGACCAGGTGATCTTTTTAGGTCACTTCCAAGCTGGGCTGTTCTATGATTCTATGATTTCTAACTTTTTTCCAGTGCCAATTCTGCTAGACAGTGTTCATCAAACTGAAGTCTGGGTGTGGTGCCCCAGAGCTGTGGAGGTAATTTTCCCTGCCCTCTTCTTCAGGTGGCTGGTCCTGGTGCTGTTGATTGAAAGGCTTGTAATGTAAAACAAAAGTTTGTGTGGTCTGTAGTCAGATAGATTTTCTTCAGTGCTGCTACTGTAGCATCTTTTTTGGAGGAGTCATCCTGAATGTTATTGAGGCCAAGAAAAGTGCTGTCAGGAAGCTACTAGCAAGAAAACTTCCTCAGTAGGGGGTTTTTGGACTGACCATATGAAAACACATCTTCTGTTTTAACTTTTTGTAGTTACTATAAGGAGAAGCTGCTGCTGGCTTTATTTGCACAGTGTCAAGGCCAGAGAAAACTGCAGCCAGTGTTGCCACAGATTTGGTAGTTATGATTGAGCTAAAACTGTCAGCATTCTGCTACTAGGGCTTTTGCTTATCAGAAGAACCTCCCCCAAACCAACAAAACTTTGTTTTTCCCTTCCCTAGTTTGCAAGAGGAATTTTCTGAGCTGTGGACTTGCGGTCTTAGCAACCCCATCAGTTCTTCTTTCCATTGCTAGGAACGCAGGAACTTCAAGGATATCTCTGCCTGGGAAGAGGAATTAATGTGTGCTCTATTCTTGTGATGCTCTGCAAATGCTAACTGCAGGGTGAAGTGTGACCTCTCCTGGCTTTGTATGAGAGTGATTGACATGGCTGGCATCGACCCAGGAGGAACAAAGGAGAGTCTTGTGTGAGTTTGTGTTGTGGCTTTCTAATTAGATGTTTGTTTGCTGCTGCTTCTTATGTGATTGATTTGGGCTTTTAGCAGATGCTTTTACATGTGTTCCCCTGTACTATGCTTTCAGAAAGAAATCAGTGATATTAGAAATGTGTGAACATCTGTTTTGTTCGGTGGTTAAATGAAGCCGTGCTGCGATGATGAACTTCACTCTTGTTTTAACGCTTGTTTCCCGCTTGGTGCCCACGAGGGGGTGGTGGTGAGCTGCTGAGCCTTGCTGCGCCGTCAAAGCTGAGCTCCTTCCTCCACGTGGGTCTTACTGACAGTTTAGTGAGGCAGTAAATGTGGATTACAGTTTTCTGCCAAACTGGATTCAGCTCCGGAGCTTTAGTCACTTCGGAAATAGCTTTCTATCACTCAATAGCTTTTCATTCTCTGTCTTTACTCTGGCTTGACATCCACAGCTGCTGGCTCTGTGTCAGAAGGAGGCACATTCCTATCATCGCTTGGTGCTGATGCTCAGCCATAACATTTCCACAGCTAAGATGAGATTTTTATTTATACACCTGTCCCAGCTTCAAATGGATCGAGTGCAACTGAGCTTCTAGTTTACTTCAAATGATATGATAGTTGGTGTCACAGAGCAGTGGTTTTATTTCCATAGCACTGCCTGCCAGTAAAGATGCTTCATACAGAAATAAATTGTGTTATTTTTCAGAGGCCAAGCACTTAACTTACTATATCTGCAGAAGATAGGGTGTTCTGTGAGCACAGTCATCTGCGTTCTGAACCCTGCAGCCAGATCTTGGCTATTTCTGTTGCCTTGAGACATGGTTAACTTTAAAACTACTGTGGCTGCTAATGTGTCTGATGAAACTCCTGTGTAGTCTCTTATGTGTGTTGACGTATTGTGTCAGTGTATAAAGCATCCATGATCACTGCCCAGGAAACAGCTTTGAGTTGCTTTTCCAGAGACTCGATCAGTGAATGGAAAGCAGAGAGATCTGTGAGGAGTGGAGCAAAAGCTCTAGTGCCTAGGCTGCTGGTGTGGTTATGGGGTGGCATCCAATAAATCTCTGCCTCCTCTTGTCCTGCTTTGAGATGGATTGTGTTAAGGGAGAATCGTGATTTTTTTTTTTTTTTTCCCATGTGAATCATTCTGATCTCAGCAGCATATGGTTCTTTGCCAAGTACTACTTTAAGCAGAAGATAAAGCTGCAGTTTAGGCACTTAGACACTTGTGTTACATTCTGTTTTCTGTACTGAACAGGAGCAGGGGCCATAGGGTGTACTTGTATTTTTGCATGTTTTGGTATGTTCCTCCTTTACCTTGATTGAAAAAATACAACTCTTATGATCCAAAGCTGTGTGCCTTACTAGATAAATGAATGATTTTGTGTCTGAGTCACAAATTTGTGGAAGCTACCGGGTACTTTGTAATACTAAACTGATGCAGATTCTCAGTGCAGATTCTCCAAGTCTGATTTTGACACTTCAGTGCTCCCATATACCATGGTCTCTTAGACAAAGATGATGCATTTCTTAATGTTAAAATTATTTTCAGGCAGACTGTTCTGATTTTTCCTTAGAATTCATCCTATGTTTGTGCATTACTGTTGGTACCTGACTGACTTTATGTTGGACTATGTTTTTCTTGTTTTTTTTTTTTTTTAATTTTGGAAAAGATTCTGCTCTTGTCTTCAGAACACCTCCTGCCTCCAGTACTGTCTTTGCCAGCCCTTTGTCAGAGACACTTCACATGTCACAGTTGTCCTAGGTAACCCTGTAGTTTTGTAGAATCTGGACTCTTCAGTACCAGCCTTTCCAAAAATGTAAGATCTGTGCTGTTTGCAGCTGGAAATAGAAAGCATAAGTCTCTACTGAAATCGGAAATCTTTGCTAGTGTCCTCTTTTCAGGATGTCATGCAAAGAAAACCCTATTTAGTCAGGTTTGGCTTGGAATATTGAAATTCTTGTTTGAATTTATTTTTTTCCACCTCTTCTCTCCTTGAACATCAGCTTTGTCTCACTTATAAGACAATTTTCTTTGCCTTTCAAGCATTAAAGAGACCTTTTCAGTAGCAGAAGGAAAGTCATTCCCCTTTTCTTGTCTGTATTAGCCAAGAGAGCATCCTTGTTTTTCTGTGTTCAGCCTTCTCCTGAACTTAAAATCTTGTTTTTCAATCAGCCTGTTACCTCAGCCTCTTTTAGTCTTGTTTGTAACAGGACAATAAAGAAGTGTGCTGCCAATATCCAAACTTATGCTTCATAAAATCGTTGACATCTTTATGCCCAACAGAATGTTGCATACAGTGTGGAGTATGTTATGTGATTTGTGATTGATTATTATTGTTCTACAAATATCTTTCAGTGCATCTTATGGTTACTAACTGAATGTTTGGCAATTTTTTTTTTTTTTTTTTTTTTTTTTTAAATTTTGGGGACTGAAATTGGTCCCTCTTTGGCTGTTTTTTCACATGCATCTGAGTTTAAAATTGGGCACTGGAAGCCGTTGCTGCCTTAGCCATCTGTCTCACTCTTTGGGTGAGTATTTGCTAGCCTGGAGGCAGAGATGTCTCATCCATGTCAATTGGCTTCTGAGATGCTCTTCAGCTGGCATTCAGAAGTGAATAACCGATCTTAATCTGCCACTGCTGAATGTATGATGGAGCCTTTAAGGCACAGCAACATAAAATGTCTATGTTTTTGTTAGGGCAGACAAGAGATAGTTTGCAGCATTTGCTGACTATTTGTTGCTTTTCAGAACTCCTAGGTCACATGCTCCAAAAGACCAGAGCATTTCCAGTGCTTGCATGTTTATTGCAAGATCTGTGGTGTTTAACTTGCAAATTGTTGGTTCCTGGAACTGAGATTATTGGAATTCTTGCATTTTTCAAATCATGTGCCTAATCTTTCTGCTTGCAGAGGGGATATTTACAATGTGCCTGAAACATGGCGCAGAAGTTCCCCCCCTCTCTCCACTCCCTCCCCTTCCAAATTTGTAACTTAGAGCAGTTTTCTGCCTATAATGCCCTACTGGGTTTGAATTATGTACCCATGGGCCTGGTATTGTATTGCAGTGGTGTTCTCTAATATGTGAAGTACCTTCATGTTGCTGCCAGAATTTTTAATTTTTTTGTGTGTCTTTATATCAAGGGACTACAGTTTCTGATGAACAGTATGTTTTGATTCTATGTATTTCTTCAGCTCACAGGGTTGAGAGGGGAAGAGTGAGATGAGGGAGCAGTGGTTCTGGTTCATTCTTGTCACAGTGCTGGCACTGAGAAATGAATGATTAAGAATGTAATCTCCAGCATCATTTCAGACTGCTAGTTTCCTAGGTCATCTTCAAATAATTTTGTGTGCGCTTCCTGGAATCTGAATCTCAAGCCAATTTAAGTGAATTGTTGCTGGGTAGTCAAAAAATCCAGTGAATTATCTGGGTTGTAAACCTGCTGTTTTCCTGACCTTGATCTGTGTTTAAACAGTCTGCTTGGTGTGGGTGCCCTTGACTTAAACATGCATCAAACAAGGGACTTTTAAGTTTATTTTCTGAAGTAAGGAAACTGTGTGTATAATTTGGTATGTTGCTGTCAGTACTCAGCCTATTCACTCACAGATCTCTTTCTAATTTCTTTCTCTTCTTGAAATGCTGGTGTAATTTGAGGGCTTTATCAGGGTATATTCAGTAAGATGGAGTGGAAATTCCTGCAGAATTTCTCTGTCAGTCTATGGACATTGTTATCATTTTGATCAGAGCAGACAGATGCTTTTGATTTGCATGGGTGAACTGATTGATTTATTTCCAGAAGTTCCTCCCATTGTGTTCTGATGAGCAAATAATCCTTGAAGAGCAGCTCAGTTCAGCAACAGTAAATGTATTGGCAGATGTCAGAAAATGCACTCATCCCAACTTTTCTGTGGCTTGACATCTATATATGGATCTTCCCCAGTGAAGTGCCAAGTGTGACATCTCAAGGTCTTTGGTGGCTCAGAATTTGTCCTATTTCTTCTTCTTGCCTGAAAATTGTTGTGGACCAAACTTCTAGTTTCATAAGAACTTTCATATATTCTTCATCTGGAACTCTGATGGCTTTTTTCTGTGAGCGAATTTTCAGAGACCAGAGACTCTTTTATCATATATGTCCAAGCTGTGTGCTTCAAGGCAAGGCACTTTTGTGCAACGTCTCATATAAAAAGCTGCCCTTCATGATGTATTTGTATAGACATCCCATACAGAATCTTATGTACTTCCTTTTAAGTCGTGATGGGTGCAAGGAGGAGGAGAGAATTGGGCAAATCTGAAATATGCTGCTTTTATTCTCCTGACAGTACGGTTGGAATGTTCAAATTCACTGCTTGCTTTCTTACCATGGCTTTTCCAGTGACTTCAAGTGGACAAGTACAGTGGTTCTTAGCACTTGACTACAGGAATCTCTGTTAATGAACTGCATGATTTGGGCTGTATACTGAAACAAGTTAAATCCAGTACTTTGTGTTGTTAGCGGTCGCAACTGCGAATAGAACTTGCCTACACAAGGCAGATAATCAGGCACTTCTTTATTCCAGCGCTGGGGAGCACGGGGGATAGCTCCACCAAAAAACGTGTTCCCCGACAGGTACAAAGCACCACATATTTCTACACTTTCAGCAGAGTCATGGTTACATGAGATCAACAAAATTCACAAAGTTTAGTCTGACCTTAATAATGATTGGCTTTCAGTTACCTCACCTTACCTATATTCCTATTCTACAGAAATCATTGGTCATCTTTACTGATTGATTTGAATAGAATGAGGGGAGGGTAATGATTAGCATATTCATGTTATTTCCTGGAAATCATTATAATATGCAAATGTCTCTAACACATCCGTGGTTATGTTGGACGGGGGTCCTCTGGTGGTCATCAATAGTCTTCATCACTGTGTGCCCTGATTGAACCCCATCCCTGCGCATACTCATTTTATCTTTGGCCGATCTTCCCAACCAAAACCTGTTTCTTCTGGTACCTGTTGTTTCAAATCAAGATCCATAACCAGTACCCATTGTTTTGATTCAGAGTTCATAACGATTTCCATAGTAATCGAGGCAAACACAATGCTAGTTGCTCCTAAGGTCTTAACATATCATATGTTCTCATAGCTACTATAACTTCATTTTAAATCAAAGCCATATTTTAAACTAAAATAAAAATAATACTCTAGGATTCAAGTTATTTTGTTAAGGTAACTGCAACAGTGTTACTACATGAACTAGCCTGTTTTGATACTACATGAAGATCATATACCTATTCAGGAACCCTAGGTATTAGTTCTATCTTATTCATTGCTTGAACTGTTTGTGTTCATGTTTTTTTTGTTTTTGTTTTTGGTTTTTTTTTTCATTTTTTTTCTTGTCAAGTAGTGGTTTCACCTCTGTCTGAGTAGCATTCTCTCTTTTCTGTTACTAGCATGATGGTGCTCTGGTGTTACATCCACTGCAGTCTGCATCCAATTAGGTCTCGTCTTCCAGAGCATCTCCATTTTCTTCAGGACAATTGAGTTTCTTTATCCTTTTGAGACTGTTCAGTTTTGGGACAGAACTCTTCATGTTGTGTGTTGTACCCAAGAGTGGTATGTACTGGACCTCTGTCTGAGTTGAAGACTTACTTGGACGGCAATAGAAAACATTTTATATATGGACATGTGGTATTGAGGGGGTTTAGTTGCTCAAGAACTTGGCTGACTTGGAACTGCCAGCCTGGGGTGGAAGGATTCATGTGGCACTGCTGAGCCTTCCAGTTCTTGCCCTGCCTGTCCAAAGGCTAGAATAGTAAGATGAATTCATCTAAGATCATCTTCCTTTCAGAGACCACTTTTATAAACAGGAACTTTTGTTTTCGCTACTGCACTTGGGAAAAAGAGGAAAAAAGTCACTGAACCGATCTGTCTTGCTGCAGGTACATTGAGGTACAGATGCATCTGAAAGTGCCTTACTAAACAAAGGCCACCTTTTCTAGCTTGAAGTGGTAGATCTGCAAATGAACATCAGTAAATCAATTTTAATTCCAGAGTTTGTAACAAATTTGTAAAGCCTTGTAACAAACTTAAGGTTTTTAAGCATTATATTCACATCAACAGGACAAGTAGTTTGTTTTTAACGGTGCAGTACTGCTGTGCATTTTGCTTAGCCTGAGCACTGGAGGCTCTCGGTCATGCCCGACAGCCACACTTCCAGTGACTGTGCTGCTCTGGGTGTTGACATTCATTTCTTTTACATCATCTCCATTCTGTTGAATTGCATTATGGACATTGCAGGAAGAAATTTGTCAGTTTAGTTGGGGTAATTCCCCTGGATCACACCAACTAGCCATAGCAGGAAAATGATGCAGCTTAGATGAGTCCTGGGGACTTGAATCTATGCAGAAGCAACAGTGACATTGGCTGTCTTGTTTTCTCTCTGTTTGCGGTGCAAAACACATCAAAGTAGAGATGTAACTTGTAATTTAAGTGATCTAAAATATTCTGAGATTGCCAGTATCCCTTCCGAATGTTGTGAATCTGAAAGAGAAGTAAAAGAACATTTGTAGAGACTTGTTTGAAAGATATTTTCTTTTTTTTCTTGTCTTTTTTGTTCCAGGATGCACGCCTAGAAAGTGTGGAAGAGGTGTGACTGATGCAGTAATCACAAGGGAAGAAGCTGAAAGAATCCGCAGGTAATTTTTCTTTTAGCTCTTTTAACTTTTATGAGCAATTACTTTAATGATAGTGTGCTAGGGTTTAAGGTGTAGCACAAAGCTCATTAGCTGAAGGAGCATGGGTTAAACTGTTTAAAACACTAAACTTTTTTTTTTAAAAAGCCATTTTTAATTTTTGCTGTAGTGGAGGCAGTTCTCTTTGAAACAGAGTGCCTGGCCTGTGAGGAGTAAGCATTGTAGAGAAAAAAGGAAAATTAATTGAAGAAGTTTTAAAGGATTTTCACTTGGCCTTCTGTTCCGTTCGGCCTTTAAAACCAGAACAAAACAACATAAGCCTCCTTTCAGTTGAGTCTCTTTCTGGGTAATTACAAGCTAGTGCTGACCCTGTAGTCCTCTGTGAACACTAAGTGGTGAGTTTTAATCAAATAGTAGGAGATGCTGTCAAATTATGCAGTTAGAAAAGTTATCAGCCTCTTTGAGTGTGATTTGCATTTGATAATCATGTCAGTGGGGAATATCACTGTAATGCTCGAAGCGATATGCAGCTGGTAGAAGTGCTTTGTTCACTATTCCCACTGGCTACTCTGATTTAAAATGAAGCTGGGCTCCTGGTTTTTATACAGAGTTTCTGCCTTGTACAGGTTTGTTTGTACTGCCCCTAAGAATCAGCGTCTGGGGAGTTTTTTTTGTTTAATCTTACTGGGCCAGAATGTATTTGAAAGACAGTGTTTTGGGGATTTATGGTAGGGGGCTACAAGCTCAGAAATGTTTTCCAACACAGATACTTTATTTTCATGACAGGCTGCAAGATTCAGTTTCAAACAAATCCAGCTTCTGTTAACTCAGTCGGGTTATATCTGATGCATCAAACACCACTTACAGAGGAGTTACATGTTGTAAATAATAACATTAAAGAACACAGTGATTGGACTTCAGTTCTCATCTGAGGTTATTGTTTTGCCTGCAGAATAGCAGAGAGGGGACTGTCCTTGGGAGGATCTGATGGAGGGGTGAGCAGTGTCCTGTTACTTTTTACATTCTTTTACTGCCACGGCAAGATTATAAATGCATTTTTGGGGCTCGAGAAGAGGAAATGGAGAATTTTTCATTCCATTCAGACTTGGAAAAAAATGTGTTTGGAAAGTTATCTCTCATTAATACTTATGCTAGCAGTGTAATTCGTGACTTGTGCAATAAAGTTTCATTTTCCTATTACTCAGATTAGTAATTTCTAGCACCTCTTGAACTGATTTTGTCTTCTCCATCCAGAAACAGTTACTATAGCAGAACTACAAAAGTTTTTGGCTTCTGAAACTAAATTCCAGTTGTTCACAGCATCACGTAAAGATTTGCTTTGTGTAAGGACAAGAAGTGCCATGTAATGTCTTAGGTAGGCCTTTGAATAATATTCTTTAAAAATTAAAACAAACCTACTTTTCTTTAACGAGCATATTTATTTTAATTTCTTTCCTCCTGTCTTTGTTCTCAGGATTTTTTTGTGTATGAACAGAAACTGTTTCTTGAGTATTTGTAAACTTAATTCATTTAGGCCTCTGCTGAATTAGGACATATATTAGCAGAAAAGAGAAAGGTTTCAATGAAAAAATACAACTATTGTCCTTGTGATTGCTGAGAAAGACCTGCAAAAAAATATATCCTGAGAAGTTTAAGCAGTGCTGCCCATCTGAAACAATATATTTAAAAGATTGAACACTCTCTGTTTCGTTCTGTCAGGATCCCGTGTATTTTTTTCAGTTCTGTGGTTGTGTAATTTGCTGTTTTGCCTAGATTGCTCTGCCTATGGGGACCTCTGGTTTAACTCTTGTTATTAGTGCTGTCAAGAGGGTTTCCTATCCTGTTTTTTTGGGACCTACATGTGATTTTTTTGTTAGACTTCCAGAAATTAGGATTAGAAGGTCAATGTGTAACACAGCTTCATGGATTTGGACCACAGAAGGCTAATGTCCAGCTGGGAACTGGGGAAACTGAGGCAGAGAAAGCTTGAAAGAGAGATAAGGGGAGGTAAACTTGCTGCCCAATGCACAGAGCTGGGCAGGGGTCCTGAGCTGGCTTACTTGGACAACAAGCCAGAGTACCAGACAAATACGAAACTGTCATCTATATAATTTTGGAAGCATCACTGAGGTTTTTCTTTTAAAGGGCAGGAAAATGTCAGGGAGAAAGAAAAATCTATTGCTGCAGTAAAATAAGTCTATTAAGAAATCTGATGTCCATTGAGAGGTATGGGCTCTGATCCAAGCCTTCTCGCATTTCGCGTGATCTGTAAATGTGAGAAAGTTATTCTATGCTGTTACTCCTTAGGGAAAGGCGCAAGGAGAAAGTTGTGTAGTATTGCATTGAGATCTTACCCAAAATAGTGGATAGACACTGAAAGATGCTAGAAACAGGAGCTGACCAGTGTTCCTGTGAGATCGTGTTTAGGAGAAGTCTTTAAATGCAGTCTTTTTCCCTAGTTTCTTTTATGCCTCTTTTTTCCCCTCTTCATCCATTTTTCTTCTTTCTTTTTCAACGTGCAAACTTGTATTCCCTATGTCATGGAGTAAATCTTTTCCCGATAGTGCTGTCTTGGTTCCCAGATATCATTAAATACTGATGGATGTGTGGTGATGATTTATAGATGGAGCGTTCTTTCTTCATTTGTGCCTTTTATCGTTTCAAATCTCTTGCCTACATAACATACAGAACGTTTCAAGTCTTACTTCATCTAGCTACTCTGCCTGTATGCCTCTCAAGCTTCAAGCCTGTTGGATTAGGTCTGGCTTGTTGCTTTAAATGTCTTAGTCTTTAGAGTGTTAGGATAATTCTGCCCAATTATGTCTGTCATTCTAAGACTAATTGTTTTCCTTAAAAATTCCTTAAATAACTCCTTGTTTCTGTTTAACTATTTTTAATTCTTTATTTAGTCACTTTGATCTCTCCACTATTCCAAATAAAACTTCTTCAGATTTCTACTGGGGTCCAGACTGCATTTTCATTCTCTCTGATTTCTTCTTAACCCCTTTTTAAGCAATATCTGATTTTTTTTTTTTTTTTTTTGGTCTGTCATACTTCTTACATTTTGAATTCACAGAAGTGGATTTGTGTCTGTGTGTCACAATTTACTAATTTAAGGACACAAACTGCAAGTTTAAGACTCTGTCAATTCTTTCCTCTCTTTATTTGCTGCCCTTTCTGCTTCCTTGGAGGACTGAAGTGTAGCACAAAAACTTGTTTCCCTTTCAGTCCTTTTGTGTTGAGAAAAATCCTGGCAAACATCTGAATTATTGAAATCTCTCAGAAGTCTTGCCCCAGTTGTCATGCTGAGCTTTCTTTCTTATCTTACTTTGTAATTTTTCCTAGATTTGATTTTATTTACGCACACACAGAGTGACTCAGGAAGAGGCCGTTGTTATCTTCTAGTCTAACTTTCAACAGAATCCAAACAGGAGCGTCTTCTCCACCAGTATGCTTCTTTCCCTTGTATGTCTCTGTAATATGGTTTTATACTCTGTTCCTCATTTGCAGAATGTGAAATGCATTAATTCTCTTGATGTTCAAGCCCAGGTTGGATGAGGCCTGTGGTAGGGGGGTTGGAACTAGATGATCTTTAATGTCCCTTATAACCCAAACCAATCTATGATCCAATGTTTACCTCAGCTTAGGTTTTTTCTCTTTTTTAAAGATAATGACCTTTCCCTTTCTTCCCTGCCTAATATTCTTGCACACTACCGCTGCTTGTGTTACCACTTTAGTTGTGACTCATTCATTCATTCATGTCTTTGTAGGTGCTGCCATCATAACATCTCTCCAGTATAAAAGAAATGACTCATTTACTGTCAGATCTATTGGCACTTACTTAGAAGTCCCAGATAAATAAACCCCTTGGTGCAGCCAGTCAGCAGTCTGTTTCCTGTGTTACAGCAAAACTGGCAGGAGTAGCCACCTAGACTTCCCTTTTGCAGGGGAAAATTAAATTTCTTCATCACTGGGAGAAGCAAACAATCTGTGTAGCTGTGGTCCCAAACAAGGGTTTCTGATATGGGCCCACCAACCCGTGCATAGAACAGTGTTTCTGCAAATGAATCTGCTTTCAGCCTTCCCAACCAAACTCTGAAGTCCTCAAAGCATCAGCTCTGTGTTTTCCAGGGGGAATGTAAAGCTTCTATGTAATACTTGTCCTATTTCATACCTCTACTACAGGCTGCATAGTTTTCTTCCTTCATAATTAGTGTCCTGACACAGCACTTCAGAAACACATACTTGTGAGGAGTGGAAGGTGTACTTGGCAGTGTGTCTTTCACTTCACTTGAAACTGTGTGTTGGTGTGAGTATCTGTACTTAGCTGTAGGAAGCTGGAGAGGAACTGGTCGTGTCTGATCTATATCTAGTGTAAACTGGTAGTGGACACCATAAGCCAAATACTGTATTTAATTTCCACAGTCATAATCTGTGACTCCAGCTGAGTGATGTATAAATTAGATTGGTTACACTTGTCTCATAATTAATCAGTGTAACTTTTAAGAGGCCTTACCTTACGAATGTAACCTTGACCCCTCTACTCTCAAGATTTAAGTAGGGAAGGGTTGTTTAAAGGTGGTAGTGTTTTGAGAGTCTGCGTAAGACTGCCTGCAGTGACAGCAAGTTTGCTGCCCAGGAATCAGCAGCCATGTAGAACCTCCACTGCTCTTCCCTCTTCTCAGCTCGAGTGTGTGAGCGTTCCCATGGGAGGAGGGGGCAAGGTTTTTCGAGCTTTGTAGACAAGTAGAAGTAAGTTTTTTTTTTTCATTTTTCTCTTTTGGGTGGTGTGTCTGTTACCTTGAAAAATCTCACTTAAAGCTTTTAAGAGGTGGAGGAGGAAGGTTGAATTGATGTAGGAGTGAATGTGTTTTTAATGGTTGGCAATCCCTTTTAGTGAGGATCAAAGGCAGAGCCTATCATGCTTTGTAAGTTGGGGAAGTTCAGCCCTTTTTGCCATATGCTGAGAAGTGGCAGGTACTTGCATATTCTTTTTTAATCCTTTTAGCAGTGAGAGGGTGGAGAATGTGAGACTAATAATATTGAAGGTCCAAAAGAACATGTATTTGTGCTTTATTTTTTTTAAAGGAGGTTCAGTTTCCTTTTTATAGCAGTTCTGTAAGCCAGGGTATTGGGCTAGTTCTGTTAAACAATCGCTTGAAATAGGTGTGTGGGTGTGTGTGTTTGCAGTGTTCTTGCCATCTTTAGATCAACTTGGTAGAGCTTTTCAGCATGGGAACAGTGACCTGAATTGCAGGCTGACACTTGATCAGATAGCTGAACTTGAAGTAATGGTATTGACAGGAGCTTCCACCAGGGTGGTATTCTCCGAGTAGGAAATGATGCTGAAAATGTTTAATGTTTTGAAATGTCAGAGTCCAAAATAAATGTGTTTCAGTTTCTTTCCAAGGTAGCTGTTAAACAAATAGCTCTGTGCTCCTGTGTAATCAAGTCCCTGGCTATGTTTGGTATTTAGTTATCTTGCTCTGAAACAACCCTGAAGAATAATCTTTCTTTTTTCAGAATCTCTGTTCAGTCTTCATCTTGCCCCTCTAGGCTTTATATCATAGCTATTATCTTTTCAGCTATGAATACGTACAGTTCTTGGGGGTGTCTTTTATTGATTCATTTGGTCATTTAGGATCTTCCCAATTGTAATCATCTGGACCTTGAGGAATGAGAAATGTGTATGTTTGGAAAGCATGTTGAAGGTATTTGAAAGGCGATTTGTTTTAAAATTAATTTCATCTTTTCCAATGTGTTCTGCTACTTGTCCTTATAATCTTCTGTAGCATGATCACAAGCATATTTTTGAAGCTACACAGGAGCAGTTTTACTTCTATTAGCTGTAGTTTAGATCATTGTACAGAAACCAATAAATGAAAATATTTTGCTTCTGAAGCTTGAGTAAAGCTTATTACACGAGCTGCTCTTGCATGACTGAGATTACTTGTTTCCATAACAGTCTTCTGAAGCTTTTGGAGAATTTCTGTGGGAAGGGGAGGTCTGAAAATCTCATGCTATGTCCACTTGAATAGCTCATTACTTTATATATTTTTAAAGCTTTGTTCAGGCGTAAACGGAATGATTTGGGTAGGTTTATCAAAAGATTGTTACTATCTTTTATTTTGAAAGGAAACATTAGTGGAGTTCACCTGATTCAGAACTGAAGCTCAGAGCAATTGAGCCTGCAGCAGTTTTCTTTTGCTGAGAGACTGTCTTGGGTGTCTTCTTCCAACATGATCCAGAGGAGGAAGGAGAAAAGTGCTTTGGGACTAGGGGTGAACATGAAGCTCTATTGCTAGCCTGGCTTGCAGCTCTGACGTGCCTGTGGACGGATGATTTGCTGCTGTTCATTCATAAGTCTGTCTGCATTTGAAGCCACTGTGTACCTTTACCCAAAGCGTATTGTTCCAACCATGCCCAGAAATTCTTGTTGCTCATAAGATGGAAGTTATCATTCTTTCCAGACAGCTCACCTAGTGGTGGTATTAGTGTCTGGAGTTTGTTAGAATAATGTGAATGGTATGTGGTGCATCAAGAGATGCCAGATTCCAAGATGCATTTGCCCGGATATTGTATATCAAAGATGGCATTGCTTTGGTGCCGGTCAGGTTAATTAACTGTTGCTACTTGATATTCTCAGTATAAAAAGAAAGACTGCTATTAAGCAATCATATTTTTAAATACTGTTTAACTGATACAAAACAAGCGTATTTTGTGGACAGTAAGGGACATACAAAAGCGTACTTTATTCAATTTAGAGAAGTAATTTAGAGTCTTGAGAGATAGCTCTCTACCCTGGCCAGTCTGAATACTAATCTTTTTAGCTTGGTCTGGAGCTCAGCAGAAGTGTTTGACTTGAATCAGATGAAGAAATGGATTGAATTTTCATATGTAAAAGCTTTTCACTCTTTGGTTTTCTTTTACAGCGGTTTAGAAATTGAGGCAAAGAAAGTTTGGCTGTAGCAAGCCTTAGAAGTATAATTGTTCTTTTAAACAGACTTTTATGTCTGTATTAAATATGAGAAGTATACAGGAACTCATGCTGAAGGAGAAGTTTTAATAACAAATGTTGGGCAAGATAAATATTAGTGCTGCTATTTGAGCGCTTCACAAATACTGGAAAATTAGTCATCTTTGTGTGGAGGGGAAACGTCTTCAAGAAGAGATCCAGGAACACAGTGTCTTACCCCTTAGCCCATGGAGGAAGACTCTAGCAATTTTATATGCCAGATTTGAATCTCAGGGATAGCAGTCCTATGCTTTTTTTTTCATAGCACCTTAATATTTTGTGCAGCTATACAGCAAACTGAGGGAGGTTTGTAGTTGTAAAGTAAGCATTAGTATTGTGAACTCAAATGATAGAAACAAATATTTTTAATGGGAGGCTGTGCAAAGTGAGACACAACTTGGGACAGTTATTAAAGGTCATATTTAAATGATGATAAAACTTTTTCATCCTCATTTTTCCTATTTTTTTTTTTTTGTTTCCTTTTCCAGGCATCAATTCTGGACTTACACTCTGGAGCTCTTTCACTGGGGAAGCATTTTGTTAATCTGTACAGGTAAAATGGGGTTGTGGCTTACTGCCTCTTGTTATCCTACACCTTCACTGCTCATGGCCTTTTCAATCTTCTCAAGCTGTGGGCTGGGGTTAGTAATGACAAACTGTAGAAGTTGGCTAGATTCACCACAGTTTCCACGACCGGTTAAAGAACTTCTGTGGCAGGAAAACTGATCTTTTGTTGAACTGGGCTCTTTGAAAGCTACCATTAGCTTTATTTTCAGAGTTTGTCTTGCACTAGTAAATAACAGTATTTTTTCATAGTTACAGGCTAGTTTGTCAGAAGTAGAAGAAATCAAATAGTCTGAACTCTTAAAAACTGGAATCCACATGCTTATTTTGTGACATGGGAAGAGACTTTTTCATGCCTGGGGAATTCTATTATTAGTTGCTGCATCTTGATCCTTTAATCTTTTAACATATAATTTTTTTAGTAATGCTTTTGGAACATCATGCTCAAAAGCATTTGTAGGATTTTTCTGTGTTGTGTGTTCACTTTTTGATTGTGGATAAAGCACAGATAGGGGTGAGAATGCATCTTGGTATTTCTCAGGCAGTCTGACTCAACAACTCTTCCTTTAGACTGTTGTTTAATTTTTCAGGTACTTTGGGGACAAAATTCAAGACATCTTCACCGAAGAGGATTTTGCATTATATCGGTAAAGATTTTCAGTAACTGATGAATAACAAAACATAACTTTTTTTTTTTTTTTCTGTAGAGTGCAGGTTGAGAGGGGATTGTTCTTTGGATTCAGAAACACAATTGTTTTTTCAGCTCAGAATAATAATCTCAGAGAATTAAAAGAATATGAGGAAAATAAGTAAAGGACCTTTTGGTTACTACCAAAATAACATTTGCTGCTTTGAACTTAGCTGCATTACCAGTGTCAGGACAGTATTGATGGTATAGATGTAATCAGAATGATGGCAGCACCACACATTTCCCTTTTTGTGGAAGCAGTTGATGCCAACCCTGCAAGCAAGGAGAGCTGCTTGATCTGAGTTCTGTGATTATTTGCTGGGACGTTATAGCTGGGATATAAAATCCTTCAGCATTAACTCCTATTTCACACATATTATCTAAGAGGTGTTGTGTTAGATAATAAAGACAATCCTATGGTATTTTTACATTAGCAACTTGGGGTTTTTTGGGTGAAGTGTAACAAAATATCAAAAATGGTAAAGTAGGAAGTGGAAGGACTTCAAACTACTAATGTTCTGGCTAGAGAATCAGAGCAGACTTTCCCCCTAAGAAGCCAGAATATGAAATGGCACTATAGTGTAATAGCTTTGGCATCTGATGCTTTTAGTTTTCCTGTAGACCTGCTCATATACTTAACGAAGACAACAAACATAACTAGTTCCATGTGTCTTAGTGAGTATGTGGCCAGAGTTTAGGAACAAGCATTCTTTGTTGACTAGACACAATAAATTTTTAGTTATGCATTTCAGTTGCTTTTTCATAATTTAAAATGTACCTGGCTTGAACATTTTAACTCCTTTTGTCCTTTTTTTATTGCCTTTGTGAAGGAATACGATCTCCCTCTAGTGGTGGAAGTAGTATTAAGTAGCCAGATAGATTTATTGGTATTGTATTTTTGTCTTATAATATGAACAACCTAAAGCATATTTCTATTCAACAACTATTTTTAGATACTGTTGTCTTTTATAGATAAATTTCTTCAAAATGTGTTTACAACTGCACCCAAAAATCCCAAAATTAGATGCTTGCTTGATTATTATTGAACTTTGACTGTATAAGGAAAATATATAGTTTCTGCTTCATTAAGATAGTGGAGAATATTTTGAAAATAGTCTTTGTTTGCCTTCCATTTTATAGAAGATCAAAGAATCTGTAGAAAGAACATCAATGTATGGAGGGAGTGTCTTAAGGATATTTCTGTTTCACATGAACGGAAGCATTCAATTTTTCAATAGTTTTTATGAATTTCTTATCCTTACTCTGTGAGATGAGACAGCTGCTAGGGAATATCAATATTCTATTTGTATTTCATGCCAATATAGGGGATGTTTCAGTCACTGGATATGAATCTAATACAAAATATATTATTAAATGCTTCTGTTCATATTAATAGCAGTGCTTTAACATGGACTGTAGTAGCTTATGTCCTTAATTAATGATTTTATGCTATTCTTGGGAGCATTTATCTTCATTACTTTCACTTACTTACCAAGGTCAGTTTAAAAATACACTCTTGAGAGAAATAACTAAGTGTAATTCATGTCTAAGTGTTACTGATTGTAACAACAACAAATCTTGAGTAGGCATTCTGAGCCAGGAGGCTGGTTTCTAAACTGTCTGTGACAAAATTATGTTGCTTCAGAATCAATTATGGTTTCTAGGTTGATGCTTTAACCACCATCTGCCAAGCATATTACAGCAATTCCTCTTGTTTCGCATAATAGATGCATCTTTATCCAGAAGAGAGACCTTTAAATCTGGATGCTTAATTTAAGGGTCGTGACTTCAGCAGAAAAATGGCACTATCAAAGATTTATTCAAAAAATCGTACAATTTATTAAGGTAGAGACATAGAGCAGAAGAAGAGCTGTAGTTTGCATTCTTCCTTTATTCATTCTGCATGTGTGATTTCTGTTAAAACTTTCTGGCTGTAGAAGAGCACTGCTTTGTCTGCTTGAACTGCCTTTTGGTGCTTTTCACTGGGAACAGTGCGGAGATGCTGACAAGTGGGCTAGAGAAGTTGTGTAGTTTTGCAAAGCTTTGAGTGTTCCTGTCACTGTACTTGAATTGCACTTTCCAGTGACTCCTAACAGTGCATTTTTTGCTGGTCTGGCAGAGCTTGTATCTTACAGAAACTTTTCTGTGGCACTTTTAGTTCCTCTACTCTGTCCTTCATGCTGCTGGTGATACATTAAGCTGGCAACTTTGCAAATGTAGTGAATATTCTCTCTCTTAATTTGTATGTTCCTTAGAGTTCTAGCTACTTGATCGGCTTTTTTTTTTTTTTTTTGCTTCCTTCATCACCCTGACTCCAAAACAGATTCCAGTAGTATCTTTTATAGAAGGTGGTCATATGTTCTCATCAAGGAGTTCTGTTCTGCCTTCCCCTGAGCCTGGCCTGTACATTTTGATATTATCCAGTGACTTAGTGTGAATGTACAAGGACTGCTGCTGAAAAAATCTGGGAGGGATTCATTTGTTGCTTATATTGTTGACCGGGTGCTGTACTCGTATATTTATTGGCATAGCAGAGCTCTGTTTAGTGCATCTGATCAGAGCCAGGCTACACCGAAAGCAGTTTGAATGATAGAATAGTTGCTGTGTGTACGAAAATGAATGCTTACATTCTCCCATATAAAGTATGTTCTTTGTAGTTATAGTGCACCAGAGCTCTCCCAACAGTTTTTGGTATATGGCAAACATGGAGGAAAAAGTATGGAGTATGGGCCAGGATCAAGAAGGGAGGAGAGGCTCTTGCCTGGTGCTCCTGGTGCTTCTGGGTGTATGTGAGAAGTGGCTGAGGGAACAATGTGGCTCTTGCCGTACCAGATCCAAGGTAGCCAGGATTTCTGGGCTCGTTCATTCCTTCCTAGATAGCACCTACTAAACTGAGATTTGGCTTATCTTATCGTGTGATTTACACGTGAAGTACAGTGGGTCTGTCCTTAAGTATTTTACCAATAGGTAAATAGGCTGTCTCTGGAATAGCAGCGAAGGAAATGGAAAGAAAAACTTGCAGTCATCATATTGATAAATGTTGAAATGGCCACGTCAGTGGAAAGCCAGATGTGCAGAGGAGTTTTTATAGGCTAAAAAGTGACTTTATACTATTTTTGAAAACAGGTATGTGCTGTATTTGGCATACACTGGGCACAGAATGAGCTGAAGTACACAGATGCATGTGTTCAGATACATGCCTTAGAGGATTCTAGGGAACACTTTGATCTCTAAAAGAAGCCATGGCTTTGCTCCTCCTGCAAGGTAAATGTTTCATTCCCATGTATGGGAATGAAATTTAATTTGCTATTGCAAAGAGGGACATGGGATACCTTGGAGAGTTTGAAGCAGAGTTCATGTTTGCACTGACAAGTTTGTCAACCTGTTGGTGATTCATGCAGAGGGGCACATGTAAGGATGTGGAATGAAGGACAACCAGGATTATCACAAAGCAACCTGTCAAACATACCTCCTGCAGCACACCCTTACTGTTGCCTTTGGCATCAAACGGATAAATGGATGTTTTTCACACTTTCTTATAATCTCTTTGTCATCAGTTACAATAGTGCGATGTGATGTTTTCTACTAAGATCAGTATTCTGCACCTTAATTCTTCCCCACCCCCTACATCAAGCATTAAGTTCTTCTAAATTTATTTTGAACTGCAGACACATATGACAAAGTGAGAAGTCCTGGTTGTTATTCACATGCACTGAGAAACGCTCTTCCCTTGCATATTTTCCATTTTCTTCTCTAGGTTATAGTGCCTATATTTGAATTGGCTGATGCCACGTTATAAGAAAGCAGATATTAAACATTATCTATGTATAGAAATATCTATGTGCTGGCTCAACTAGGAATTTCATGGAGTTTCTGTAGCTTTTGAGCAGTATGGTACATACTCAGGTAAGAAAAAAGCATTTAGGCACTCAAAGGTATTGATTGCTCTTTGGAACTTGTTTCTAGCAGATCTTTGCTCTATGAGCTATTCATTCAAACATCAGTGGAAATCTGCAGTTTATTCATGACTGATGTGCCTTTTTTAGTTTTTCTTGTTGATTCTCTATAATTAGGTTATTTATTGCACATTTATTGCGCTGTAATGCAGCGCATATTTGTAGGCAATTTTTCCAATTTATTAGTTTGTATTAAATATAAATTGCTTGGGCAGTACTTGGAGTTGTATCAGATAGCACTTTGTGTATCATGATAGTATTTCACGCTTAAAAATTTAAGAGCATCCACAGGATGTGAAGAAATAGGGAGGCAGAGATGGCCTTTTGCTATTTGCTCCATCATATGTTAAATAGGTTTATGCTGTACCTCTTAAATTCAAGCCTGAACTTTGGGAATGCTCAATTTACAGCAATGTAGATTACATGCATTTCTTTGTCATGTATATATACGCTAGAGAAGGAAAAAAATATCTAGTCTTGAATATTTACTTTCTGTCCCTATAATTTCTCTTTAGAGATGTCATCCTGTGAAGGGCTTTTCTTATGAGCAAAGATTGCTAGAAAGGGGTCTTATTTCCGGTGACCAATACATGAGTTTTGACCAGTACATGAGCTTGGATTACTTTGCTTGCCTTTTTTCCAATGCTACATTTGGAGTTCATTGAAATTAATAAATGAATTCCTACTGACTTCAGCATGGGCTGGATTAGGCCTTCAAAAAATAATTTGATTCTTTGCCAATTCTCACAAATATGTCTGAGGGGACTGAAGGCAGACTGGAAGATTAAGTGTCTTCTCCCCCCAGGTCTTAACTTTTTTACAACTTTGCAGCCTGCACATCTTGCAAAGTTACTTTTGTTATGTTATTTTCAACTTTTTATTATAGGCACACTAATCCCTCTTGCTCATTGAGCTCTGATGTGAATAGTCAGTACTCTTTAGCCTGTTGACCTGTTTCCTGAAGGAAGGCTGTTGCTACAAACTTGCCCCCTGGACCTGTGTTATCATCATGTGTCTGTGTTAGAACAGCTCTAAGTGCAAAGGGTAAATATTTGTTTTTTGAAGCATAGTCTAAGATCCATTGCAATCAGTGGGGCTTTTTGGTAGTATATCATTTGTTTTGTTGAATGGCAGATTATTTATGTGCTTAAAATTCACGTTAGTTTGCTACATACATCATGATTGTCTTAAGTTTTTGAGTGATGCTGTGATGTGTGCTTCTGCCTTTTGCTTCCTTGTGAGCTCTCATCCTACCTAAGTCCACTGAAGAAGTGCAAGGTTGGCACCTCTTGTCACCTAATGCACTTGAAGAAGCTACTGTGATTAAAAGTGATACCTGAAGTAAATAGCACGCAGGGAAATAAGAGGCCAGCAGTATGCTTACATGCTCAAAAACCAGCTACCTCAGTCAGTTGAAGGCAGCTGCTTCCCCGAGACCAGATAGCACCTAACATCACGCTTTTAGATCTGTGACCTCAACTGTTCATTACTCTGTCTTCCTATTCACTACTTCCCCTGCCTGCTTGATTTATAAACAGGAAAGAACAAACTTATCTGAAAAATATGCTTATTTTCTCTTTGCAGCATACTTAAACTGTTGAGTTTATTTTCCTTTTCTTTTGATAAACCCAATGGCCAGTCCAAACCAGAAAGACTTTTGGTTGCTGTGTTTGTCTGTCAGGAAGAGTCGAGTTGAGCTTTGCTGCCTGCTTGGTTTGCAAAACATGCAGTCTTTCCCAGAGTCAATGCACATAGGTCTCAAAGAGGAGCAATGCTTTAACAGAGCCTTATAAACACCAGACAGCAAATCCTAATAGAAAGCTTTTAAAAGTGGAAAAGGAATCAGCTTGAATTAGGAAGCAGTATTGCTTAGAGAGCAGTACAACTACTGGAGATTTAAAGTAATGTCAAGACTGTGGCCTAACTACTTCAGTGTAGATATATTCCAGCTGGCTGATGCAAGTGGCCACCCGGATGTCAGAGCCAGGGAAGTGGCTGCTTTAGTATTTGTGGGTTAGGCTGTTAATTCGTGTGTTGGGTTGTTCAGAGTGCCAGACACCCTCAGTTCATGAAGTGAAATGAGTAATTACATTTAATGCTTTTTGGGAAACATAAGGCAGCCTCTGCTGAAGTCCTACTTCTTGGAAAGAAAACAGACAGAAAGATCAGGCTCCCACGGGCATGAGAAGAAGGACCTGTAGATCCTTTCCTGATGTCAGTTTTATAAACTCTACCACTATGTAGCTCTCAACCTGAAACCTCAGTTCATGCAGCCACATAAATACCCAAACATCTCGGCTCTACTTCATTTAATGCTTTGATATTTCACATGTAAAATAGCTTAAATTGATCACTAAATCTTAGACCCATATAAATATAAAGTGAGACAGGTTAAAAATCAAATCCGTATGTGGCGTTCTTTTTATTTTTGGTGAGGGGCAAGATGTGAACAGAATGAATATTTAGGATTTTTTTTAGTACTTGTGGAAGTAATTTTTAAGAGCTGAGTTTCCCAGCCTAAGTCTGTAGGTCTCGTTTTAGTTCTGTCACTTCTTTTTAGTCACTATTTAGGTTCCCTAGAGAAATATTTACGAAAAACTTTCTTGGAAATTATGCTGAAGTTCAGTACTAACCAGTGGAGAAATGTCTGATGCAGAAAAGATGCAAAACTACTAATGTAATTCCATGCACAACTTTGGAAGTGTGTTTACTCAGAGTGTCTCTAGTTGTGTGCTGCTTTTGAAGCACTTGGGAAGGAAGAAAAGGAATACTAATGCAGTAGCTGAGAATGTGTTAGAATTGGGAGAAAACAATATAAAGATTTTAAGAAGCACAGAGGATTACATCTTAAAAAAACCCCAATGTTTTCTTTTTGTCTCGTTGTGTTATTGCTGGTTTTTTATATTTTCTCAAAGTTAAATACTAGCTGTATATGTTTATTGGTGCAATTTGTCAGCAGTATTCCTCATTAATCACAAATCTGTTCTCTTTAAAAGTGCTGTTGACAGAACTAAGGCTGGCAGTTCTAGACGTCCCCGTTCCAGCCCTGTATACAGTGATACCTGTCCTGAAAGATGGATGCTGTTGCATAAGCAGTTCTGTATAGTAACACATGTGTGATTATTAGTCTTCTACTTTCATAAACTTGGAACCAAAACCAAAAATCCTTTTCTTCCTGTTTCCCAAGAAACACAGGAATAGCTGGAGCAGAAGCAGTTTGGTTGAACCTTTGCAAATAGTTGGGAAAGACATCTTGCATTCATTTTTAAAGAAAATGTGGTTATGATATCAATACATATGTTGACAGAGAACCCTGAGTTTCATGGTGCTGGGGGCTTCATCTCTTAGTTTAAAATTAGTGTAAAATCCTTTATGAAGACGCAACTTTCTAGTTACCTGTTTTGGATTCAAAATATACATGTGAAAGTCTTTAATATTTTCAGTAGTTAATAAACAGTGAGACATGCATGGAATTTTTCAGGAGAATAGACTGCTTACACAAAGCAATTTTAATACCTAGGCCACGTGACATAAATAGTTTCTTTTTCTTAATATTCTGAGAATTAAAAAAAAAAAAAAACACCACCAAAAAAAACCCCACAAAAGACCTCTCCAACAAAACCTCCAACCTCAACCCAAAACACTGGGGTGGGTGCCTCTTTTTTTGATGTAGTAGATCTCCTTTATTTAAGGTAAAATATGGGAGAAAGTATGGGTATATGTTCCCCATGATTGATCAGCTGAGGAAGAAGCTTAGCTCTAAAGAAGCAATAACAGTGAATGAAAGTGAATACAGAAGAAGCAGCAGAGGGGTATTTCACTTAGCATGTTGTGTTGTCATCTTTGCAGTGACGTGAGACAGAGAATTCAACAAAGGATTGCTCAGGCATTTGGTATCAGCTCTGCTTCCATGTACCTGACTAAGCCAACGTTCTTCTCGAGAATAAACAACACAGAAGCCAAGACAACACACGATGAATACTGGCACCCACACGTTGACAAGGTAAGTAGGAGGCTGAGATGGGATGCAAATGTTTCCTGTTATTATTGGATCACTTTTGAAGTCATTTTGCATTAAACAATCAGTCAAACGTGTTTGAAAACTGGTGCTTGTAAAAATCCTTCAGAGGATAGATGTAATGGAAGGATAAGTGAGGTTTAGAAACATAGGCCATTATAATCCTTTTTATTTTATCTTCGCTACTTAGTTCTGCTAGAATTAATAAATTGTGTGAATGACTACTCAGGAATCTTTTCTGTCAGAAACATTGATTAAATTGACCTGTACCTACAAAGTGTTTCTTCAAACCTGTGTTTCCAGCTAGGGTATCACTCTTTCAGCCAGGTCTATCAGGAGCTATGTCAAAGACATCAGTTGGTCACTGTTGTTAATTGATCTGAGCCTCCTGACAAATGCTTATCGTGTACTTCAGTTATATGTGAATTGAGGCTTTTTTACTGCGTGTTCTGCAATGAGGATGTGGTACCCTCTTTCAATAATTTGATGTTTTCTTGTTTTTAGAATGGAAGTATAGTTACTTTTAACCGTGTAGTCTTCTATCTGTAGGCTCATAGCTTAATACTTTGCATTTCTCAATGGACTTAAATGATTTGGGTTTGATATTGAGTTTATTTCTGATTTTAACTGAATTCGAAGGTTATGTGCCGCATAGCAGAATACAAACTAACAATAGAAGAATCAAATAGAAAAAAAAAAAAAAAAAACCAAACTGTGCATCAGAATACTCACATTTCATGTCCTCGGGATGTAAAAATTAGTCACTCTAGGGCCATGGATCACCCAAGATGGAACAAAATAAAACTTATGTACCTTGAAGTCTATGACCTGATGCATTTAAGATGAAAAATCAAATAGAGAAATATCCCTTGCCTTGAAGAAAATATTTCCTGGAAAACTTCAGTCTGAGGGAAATACAATGTTGGTCGCTTATGACATTAGTGTAAGCTCTTGTGCCCTTTCTTTTCATGTAGGCAGAAGCAGCTTGAATTTAGAAAATGTGGTGACAGCGATGGTACCTGATACAGCTGCTATTCAAAAGAAGAAAGTAATGCAGGGTGGCACTTGCAGTCACTGATACAATGAAGAGGAGACCAGATTTTGGGTGCTTCTTGTTTAAAAGCTGTAATGTACCTGTGGAATAGGAGTGGACCTAGGACCAGGAGTGGTAGGAATGATTTTTAGGTGCAGATTTTTTTATCTAGTGCTGGTAGGAACTGGTTGTAGGGAGCAAATTGTGCTGGTGGGATTCGCAGGAATTTTATCACATGTTGTGCTCATTTCCAAAAGACACCAGATAAACTAGTGTTTCTGGTTACGTGAAGTGCAGTATATTCATAAGTTACTCATAGTTTTTCCATACTTTACAAGAATCTAAATTTACTGCCACAAGGGAAGAGAAAGCAGTAAATTTCAATAGCTGGTGGCTATTTTCTCCACTCTTTTTTTCAGTCCCAAGAATTTTATTTTAGAATTTCAGATTCTGATTTATTACTATAATGAGATTTGTGTTTCTACAAGCATTAGGTTTGCCAATATTCTCTTTATTCTTTTCTGCATGTGTTCTGCATTGGTAAATGAGTAAGGTGGTTGGATAACCTCACACCTCACAATTAAGTGTTTGTACCTAAATCTCTGCTATAATGTGCAAGTTGTGTTGTCATTTAGAAACAAATCTGTTTTCATGGAGGGAACTTCTTTCCTTTGTAGAAGCTGCTTCTCTGTTACAGCATCCTGGCAGTGCCTGTACATGATGGACAGCAGGCTAGATGTTTTGCTGTTTTTATCCATCTGTTTTGTCCACATTTTGTTTATTATCTTGCAGGCTGTCTGTTCAGGGAGCAGATACACCACCTGATCAGCCTTGGCTTTTTCTAAAACCCCATTCCAGCTTCAAAGAAACAAAACAAACACAAAATGTAGTCTCTTAAACTTCCTATGCATAACCTCAACCTTAATAGATTCTATATTGAATAATCAGATAGTTTGATTTATGACAGCAGTGGAGGGATAATTATTCCAGTTAGGGCAGTTACCAAACACCTTGTTCATAATCATGTAGAATTTGCGCCCCGCCCCCCCCCCCCCCCATGTCATACCTGCTGTAAAATGTGAAAATGTGACTTACACTAAATTTCACAGTGTTTTCTGAGATAAGTATTGTTTAGATAACACTGGGAGTTAAAACTGTAGCTTGTCCTGTTTCTTCTATGCAAGTAGCTTGAATGCTTCTGTAGCAGCTGACTTACTGCATAAGTTGTTTGTATTGGGAAAGCTAAAGCATTCAGACCATTGAAGTGATTTGGTTTGTGCCTTAAATTTGTGTTCTGGGTTTGATCAAATATATTTTAATTTCGTTATTTTCATTCTTGTTCAAGAGCATTCTCATAGTAGGGATTGCATGTGAATATGCCAAAGTTGGGCCACTGTTTGTGCTGTTGTGACAGCAACGTTGCATGCTAAGCTGGGAGCCTTGTGTGGATCAGTTCCTTTTCATTTTTGGAGGGAGTGCAAGGGAACAGAACTTCCTTAACCCCCAGCCAGAGTGAAGTGGCTTTGTGGGTGCTGGGGAATAGAGACCTAGAGCAGACTTCTTGTAAGTGCTTTTCGAGCTCATGCCTTGAGGGTCCATTTCTCCCTCTTTGGGCTTCACATGGAACAAATGCTGTTGCCAGTGCAGAGGGTGTTGAGGAGATGGACAAGCCACTCTGAGCTGGGATCATTGTTGTGGAAGTGGCACCAACTCAGTGGTTCATCCCTTCTCTAGGATAAAGGACTTCAGCTGTTGCCAGATAATACAGTGACTTCTGCGGTTTAAATGATAGCAATTTGCATTGCCTGGTTGAAAATTTGGAATTTGAACCACACTAATGATGCCTTAAATAGGGTCTGATAGAAATACATCATGTTCATTTCATATCCATCATAAAAGTCCAAATTACATCATCATATATCATTGCTACTGGACACTGGCAACCTTCACTTCTGGTACATAGTTCACTTGAATTTGCTTCAAAGGATTAACTTGAATTTGCTTCACAGGATTAACTTGAATCCTTTCCTTGCTGCACAAACAAGCCTCTAATTCCTTTTTCCTCTTTAACTTCTGTTTGTTCACCAAAAGGTCTGGCGGTATTTTCCCCTTAAGTGCAGTTGGAACAGAGTTATCTGTGATGTAGAGTTCACATACATGTTTGCTAGATCATGGCTTACAAAAAATGCTATACTATATGCAGACATATATTCTACACATAATTTTAGCCTACTACAGGTGTACATTATGTATATCTGTACAATGTTCCGTGTTTAGAAAGAGGTAAAAAAATAAATATTTACAGTTCATCAAGCTATGCAGGAGACTGAATTAGAAGGCCAGTAGGTCAGAAAATATTTCACAGAAGGCTAAATAGGATAGACAAATTGTTTTCAGTGCAGTCTGCATGCCTTGTATTTTGATTTTTCCCAACAAACTAAGTTTCACTTACCACTGCTAGACTGCAGTTGAAGGCAAGGTCGGGGGGGTGAACATTGCTATTGATCTGAGGTAGGAAATGCTTCTCATATAAAAGCAGTAGTAGTCTTACATGGCCTCCAAAACAATTGTGAATACTAGGGAGCTGAATGAAAGATCAACAAAACTCAGCATGCTAAATATTTTGCCAGTTGGATGATTTTGTGTTGTATCATTATTTACACTTTCCCCTTGGAATACAACAAATCACTTTACGTATTTCTGCATAATAATTAAATGGTGAAGGTTGCTTCTAGAAGACTTTTTTTTCCCCTGCCTCTTTCCAAAGAAAGGTGAAATTAAACTTTTGAAAAATGAATCTGACACATTTTTGTTTCAAAGTCTGACATAGGTTCACTGTAGGTTTCTTGGAGCACACAAATATCCCTCTTGCCTTTTTCTCTATATTTCTGAGTCTATTGCAGTTACATTTCTCAATCTGAATATCCTTGGTTTTGAAGATTTTAACTGCATAATGGAGTAGCACAGATCCATTATGTCTGTATGAGGCTTTGATTTTTAAAAATCTATTTGGTTTTTAGTTACATAGGCATGGAAACCCTGAAATCACCCAAATGACTCATTTAATCTTGTTGAATTTATAAGCATCTAAATCAAAGAGAGTGTTGGCTTAAGATGTGGAGTTTAATCTCGGATAGAATTTGCTTGGAACTGAGTCTTTCAAATGTCAAACATCTGATTTGTAATGGAATTGCTGTTGCATGCTCAACTGACAGCAGCATAGTCTTGCAACGTTCTCAAATAGAAGTGATGCAGGACTTAAAGATTTCTGCAGTCCACTGCCTGGGTGAGGATCTTATCATCCTTCACAAAATCGTCAGGCTCTGCGATAAGATCAGTTTCGGGTTGTTTTCCTTTAATTTCTTCTATCAGAGCTATTCCAAGACTTCACTGCAAATTTTCTTGATTTTTATAGGTAGCAATCATATCCTGTTTCAGCCTTTCATTCTCTAAGCTGAAGAAACCAAACCTTCAAGTCCCCTTTACCTGTGATATGCTTTCCATCTCCCTAACCCTTCTTGCAGCCCTCTGTCCTCTGGCTGTTGAGGTCATCACTGATAGCAGCTGCTATCTGTTCTAGCAGACTTTTCACTCTTTTTCTTCCCCTCATATTGTTAGACATTTAATGAAATATATCAAAAGATCTTACTTCTGCTTTAGGACAGCATCATCTTTGAAATCTGAGGAGTTTATTCTTTTGTCTGTTTAAACCTGTTACCTCAACTCACCTACAGCCCCTTTGCTGTTTGGTGTCTTATATTAGCTACTAAATAGATACTACCAGTATATAGAACATTGGAAGTAGCTATCAAGACTGTTTCTGTGATTATCTGCACAAACGTAGGTATAGGCTTACAAAAAAAGAGCTGTTTTGACTCTTATTACTGCAAGATATCACGCTAGACCTATGCTGTTTGGAGAGTGAGTGTATGTGTTTTCTTCTGCAATGGAAAGTAAAGGATGCTGTCCTACATACCTTTGTTAGTAACTGCAGGCCTATTGCATATTCCTACAACTGTTTAGTTGCGTATAAACATGTCTTCCTCAGAAACCCAAGGGTGCCACACTGTAAAATGTGGCTGGCTAATTCTGACAATTAGCTGTATTTATAATAATAGCCTTTAAGGAAGTATCATATAAATATCATTATGAGCATCTCTCATTAAATATTAAGTATGTTTGACTTACTTGTGTAAAGGGCACTCAAAAGAGCACACTAACTATATGAAATATCAGGCTGAACGGAAATGCCTGCATTTCTTCTATTGAATTGTTCATAAGGAGTTATAGAAACTTGATTTGCTGCAGTGTGCCTCTATGGTTTATTACCTGGTTTTAATGACAGCTTTTCTCACATAGTTTGAACTTCTGGTTCAGTTATTAACCTTTCTGATACTGGAAATTATTACCAGGGCAATAAATATATTTGATACATGTGGGGGACTTCTAGCATTTTAAGTAACTGAGTATAACTTAGTGCCTCCTTTCCATAGTGTTGCATTTCCCAGGCCTGACTGCCTTTTGAGAGTTAGCAGCGAACAAGAACATGAACAGAAAAGCCATTTTCCATTGCATACTTGGTTCCTCAGATTAGTTGTCTATAGAAATTAAATGTGTTTAGTTAAGCTAAAATGGTTTGTAGTCAGCTCTTAAAAGTTCAGAATTGGTAAAGCTACCTTGAGAGGATGGAGAATGCACTGACAGAGCAAAGATTGCCATACCACTGAAGAGTTAATAAAAACAATTTTAACACATTAGACTTGAAGCTATGAGTTGAATTTCTCTTTGAACTTATTTATTATGCCACTGCCTTCACTGGCTGGAAGACTTCCTTAAACTGACTGGAAGTTTTTACCACCAAATCAGGGAAGGTGAAAATAGCTTTGCAAAGCTGATTGCTTGAGGAGGGCTGTAGAATGGCTGTTTTGAGGTGCTACAAGACCATGTGCTCGTTAATTCCCATTTATTGCCTTGTATTGCTACTAAGGTTTGGGTAAGTACGGGGAGAAGGGAATCATCAAAACGTTTCTCTCATTCTCGTGATTGAGAGTGCGTAGTGCAGCATATCACCAGATATAACTTTGTTCCTTTAAGCCCTTATGGTCAAAATAATAAAATGAGTAAACATGAAAACGTCTTCCTATTCCATCTGGTGCTATGTTCTCTTTAGTCATTGCCCTTACAGAATAATATGTACAACTGCTGTTGAGCCAGAATTTAACTGGCACTAATGAATGTAGCTAAAAACAAAATTGAAAATATTTAGAAAACTTCTAAGTTTGGAGGTAGCACCTACCTCCAGCAGTCACCAGGTCAGTCAAAACACTCTGCAAATGCTGTGTATTTATACTGTGCTGCACATTTCACTGTCTGACAGTGTAATGCAGAACTTGATTAAGTTGTGATATACTATAAAGAAATTGTAGACTACAGCCATTGACTTTTAAGTATATTTTTAACTGGTGACATGTAGATATGAAAAGGAAACATTTTCAGAATCAGCTAAACTCAGTGTTAAATATTTAGATAGCTTTACTCTGAGCAGTAATACATAGTATTTATTTTCTCCATCTTCAGCATACATATCAAGCAAAAATAATACTTTAAAAGGAAGGAGAATCACCTTGTTATGCTTAAAAATGGGCTGTTTGGTCTATAGGCTGAGAAGAAGCAGAGACTTTGAAAGTCACGTTTGAAGGTTTTTAAACAAAACCTGTATGGAAAAGAGTAGAAGTTCCTCCAACAAATGTATGTTTACTTGGAAGGTCTGATTCACTGTTACTGTGATGTTCCTACATAGTAGCTGGTAAAAGAATAAAAGGTGAGGTTTCCAGAAACCTATAATCTTATCTAGATAATGGTGAAATTAATTAGTCAAAGGCTGTTCTTGGGTCTTATTAATATTATGGTTAAACTTTATCTTGAAACAGTATAAATAGATCTGAGCCCTTCTATATTTTTGATACAATGCAGGGGTGTAACTTCTGACACTGTTGTTTTTTGCTAGATGTCTAGTACGCTTAGGATGTTAGAAATCAATAATAGCATTTCTTTATGGAAACTGTAATAATAGAAATAATAAGCATAAGATGCTAGTCTTGTATGTAGTGTGTGTGTAAACAGAACAGACTAAAACTATGTTATTTCTATAAAAGAATGTTCTCAGCTTTCAGAGATCCCTTTATAAAATACATGAAAATTGGAAAGACCCACCAGATCCATCTGCCTAATTATTTGTGCTCTGCAGAGATGAGAGTAGAATTTGGTAACATTTAGTAATGTTATCTTACTTCTAGGTAACTTATGGCTCTTTTGACTATACTTCACTGTTGTATCTCTCTGACTACACTGAAGATTTTGGTGGTGGACGGTTTGTGTTTATGGATGAAGGTTCCAACAAGACAATAGAGCCCCGAGCAGGTAAGTCTTGGTTTGCCCAAATTGTAACATTTATTAACAGAGTGGGCTGGGGGATGTAGTGGGACATTGTTTTGTGTGTGGAATAATGCAGCGTTTTGTCTTCAGACTGATTACCTAAAAAGTGGAAAGATTAAAAATGTTAAAATGTGGCCACAGTTTGAAATATCTGGAGTTAAGCTGCACAAAGTGACTTCCTTGAAAGCTGTAGGGTTTAGAACTGCAGTGCAGTTATGACAGCTTAGCAGGTCACTATGCCTCAAGAGCAAAGATAACTGTGACTACAACAAATCCAAAATAAAGCAATTTATTTTAGACTATCTGGCTTGAAATTCCTTTGCTGTTCAAGGTGGGGCTTAACACCCTGTAATTGCTGTGGGCTGGGTGTGGAGATGATTGATTACCACAGTTCTCCTAACCTGCAGTAACATGATGAACCACAGTAACTTGGTTATAAGTCCATAACGGCTTTCAGTAGATCTGACAGGAATAAGCATTCTGATGGCTGTCAGCTAAAAAAAAAAAACAACCTCTCCTTTAAGGCTGGTTTAAGATTTTTTTCTATTAAGTGGATCATTTGAAACCAGAATTACTTTGGGGCAGTACGCCTAGGAAGAAAGAGCTCAGCCTCAACTCATCTGTCTGGCAGGTGAATACTGAGCTTACAGCAATGTAACCTTTTATAATGCAAGACCAGTCACACTCCTGCAGAAAAAAAATCAAGGACAGCTTTATATTCCTACTGTGTTCTGTCTTTTTTTTTCAAGAGAGAAGAAATGGAAATTTGTTCATTTAAAGACAGCCTCAGTAATTGTCTGCTGACAGGCATTACCCCAAGCAGAACTGACTTCTGACTGTTGCTACGTGCAAACGGAGATGGGTGTGGATTTTTTGATTTATGGATCATAGCAATTCATTCACCAGCAGTAATGCTGGTTTAGATAAACTCTGAGATTATCTGCATTCTGGGTTTGGTATCAAGAATTGTATGTTTGATTATTTTAGCTTATGTGGCTGAAAATCAACCCTAAACTGAAAGTTTCATCTTTTGCAAAATGCTGCCACCAGTATTTTGAAAGGGAACGCATTAAACCATTTCCAGATGCAATTCTAAGATTAACATGTTTTTATAGCTGTGAAAATCGTAGTTAAATTCTAGGTAGCTGGGAGGACAGTGGTCTCCTTGCACAGTACAGGGGCACTCAGTCCAATTGCTGTATGCAGTCTGTTCCAGACTTAATTTCAGAAAGTCTGCAACTGTGAAATTGCTTCCATTCAGCCCCATCCGGTTAATTTTCAGGCTCTAGTGCAAGGTGTTCGCTCTTTTTGTCATTCTTGGGGTGGAAAGGGGGAGCAGATGAAATATAGAAAGTTTTTTTTTTTTTTACCAGCACCTGGTTTTGGCCATTCCCTTTCACAGGTGGTTGTATTGACAGTATATGTGCCACAGAGCTGGTTAAATGCACCTTTTAAAACAAATCAATGCAAAGCTTGTAAGGAGTGGCCTTTTTTGAAAGACCAGATGTGTTACTTGTATACAACAGAAAACTAAGTTTAATGCCAGTTACACCTTTCTAACACACTCTTCTGTCTAAACAGTTGTCAGGGGTCCCATGATTGCACCATACCTAGTGACACAATCTAAATAACTACCAACATCCTGTGAGAAGAGGAGAAAAGCTTTAGGGGTGAAGCACAAAGTAAAGGCAATGGCATTTAGTTTTCCTCTTGCTGATAAAATGCGGCTTGTGAGGAAATGACCCCAGGGTGTTTGCTGCTGCTGGTACAAGTTGATGCATTTTTCATGCTCAGAATGTTCTTTTGCTGTGTTTTTTCTCTGCTTCTCTCTTTTCTGTTTGTGATGGGGTTTTTTGTTTTGTTTTGTTTTATGCTTCTTTTGATCCCTTGTGCATATCTTGCCACTCCAACCCAACTTTTAAACCCATGTGTTAATAAGCTTTTACACTTGTCATTTATGATATTCAGGCTTTTTAGAGATGACTGCTGTAATCACTGGTTCGATTTTAGTGTTTGACAGCTAATGTACCTTCTCTGTATTGCTAACGCCATTTCAGTTCTAAAACCTGGCACTTCTTGTCTTAAAATTAGTCTGTGTTTTGCGGACCTGGTGCCAAAAGGAGCACATTCCTTTTTCTGTGATCAGTAATTTGTTAGCGTCAGGCTTTACAGTAGGGAGCAGAAAGGCATTGTTACTGATGCAGCAGAACAGAAAAACAGTAATTGGAAATACAAAAAAAAGACAATTAAAAATAAAACACTGTGGAATTTCCTGTGCCTAGGCAAGTCACACTGTTGCTTCAGATGCTTTTGCAGTACTTACTGTTTAAGGGTCAGTTTAGCCAGATAGGCTTACCGCTTCCCCATCACTGGTGGATTGTAAGAGAAGGCTGCAAGTCCTGATTCACATACTTGAGTGAAAGACTCTCGGTATAATTTGTAGTATGTTCTATAACATTGCCTAGTTCAATTATTAACAAACACCTTTAGATTTAAGAAGGAATTATAACATTAACCTAGAAGCTCTTGAGATGTTTTCTTTTTAACTGACCCGAACAAGTCACCACTGTGGTGCCAATTCATGTGTACAGACCTTTGGGTAATTCATAACCAAATGTGGCATTAAGGAACACATCTTCCTTGTGCTCTGATGGGCTTCAGAAGTGTATATATGTCTTTTGACCTAACTCAGGACCTCTGTCTGCTGCAAGAAACTCACTGTACTGTGAGTAAGAGGATCCTTCTCATGCCAAGTGAAATTCTACTTTGAAGGGAAAACATCGGTGTTTTTTTGTTTTTTTTTTTTTTTGGACAGAGAAACAGTTCTGAAGTACTATTTGTTGCTTTTAAATGGCTACGTTACCTTAATTCTGGAAGTAGAATTATTAGCATTTTGTTTTCATCCCTTGTACCAGGAGTAGCTCTGTTCAAGAGACAAAATGAAATACAGCAACAGTTAGAAGGAGGTTCTGCAAAACAAAGCCCACAGCCCTTTTTCACATTAACTATCCTTTGCTGGACTGAGACCTGTTTTAGTAATCTTCAGTAGGTACAGGAGGATTAAGAATAAATGGGAGACATCAAGGCATTCCTTTTTAATGTTAAAATTGGTATCCTTTCTGCTGCTACTAAATTTATTGGTGTAAACTGTGTTTAAAATGTCGTAATTTTGGAGTCTTAGAGACTGGCAGTATTAGGTCACAGACTTCACTTCATGGTAAAGCGTAGATAAAACCCTGCAGTTGCAATGAAGTATCTGTACCAGTTACGTGTTCCTTATTTGCACATCCATTTCTTGGTTTTAAGGTCAGCTTTGCTGCACTTCCTTTGAACTCACAAGGGAGTTTGTTCTTGATACAAGTTGTTTATTATATAAGGGTAGAAGGAAAGGCCGCAATCACTTCTTCTGTGTATTTGGAAGAAAATAATGTATGGTGCAAAATTAATTCTGTGCATTGGAGAGTAAAATGTGACTCTTCCTTGAATATCAAACTTAGCATATTTTCATAGCTGTCAGAAGTGTGTTTCTGAAAGTGTAAAAATATTTGAGATGAAGGTATGAGCTATTTGGGAACTTGTGTAGTTAGATTATTCTTCACTTAGAATGGAAAAAAGTGTGCACTCAAAGCCTGAGCCATTAGTTTTTCTCCTCAGGTAAGGAAAAGCATACGTTTAAAAATGCATACATAACTTTCTCATAGTGCAGGAATGGGCTTCAGGGTGTCTGTGTCTACATTTACTGGGATAAGCATAGCTTTATTGCAGTAGTTAGATATCACATGACTCAGATCCTATAGACATGAGAGTAAGTGCAGTATTCCAAGTTATGTGGTGGGAATTTGTTATATCTTTATTTTATTGTGCTCTTTTAAAAAAACTATTTGGAGGAATTAACTACTAAAGGCTGAGGGAAGGCACCGTGGTGAAAGAAAGTGCAATGACATGAAAAGGAAGATTTCCAGATTCAGAAGTCCCACAACAGCATTAACACAAGGTGTGAAAATTCTTTAAAGCATTTATTTAGTAATCCATCTTGTATCATGGAATAGTGGATTTATTTATTTTTTTCGTCACTGAGCATAGGTAGCCTGATCTTTCTCTACATTTAATCTGCATCATCCAGATTCAGTCTAGATCATGCTAATCTTCTGGCATCCCTAGTTTTAGTTTTGCTCCAGTCAGTAAAACTGGAGCATATTTTGATGTTAAATCAGTAACAACTGAAAATTGAGAATGATTTTTTAAAAATCCACAAAGTAGCTGTCAGTCCTATAGAAGAATAAAGGGAGACAGCATTAGCAGCTGCAGTAATAACGAGCTATGCAAAATTCATGGGTTGTAAGACAGCAGTTCTTACTGATTTGCAATACTAATCACAAATTGTACCTGGGACTTGTAAGATGTTTGCAGGGAGAAATGGTAGAAAGCGGAGGACCTGTTGCAATGTGACAAAAATATGTAGGAAATAGCTCGATAGAGCCTCATTTCTTTGTAGAACTCTGAAGATTTTCTTTTGCTTTCTGTTTTATTTTCCACAGAAGGATAGCTATCTTCCAGACTCTGGTTTTGTATTCCAGTGATGCTTGATAATGTCATTAAATAGTACTTTAATTGGGCCAATAAAGCAATAGGTACCTGGGAGGAGCAGGTCAGATCTGCACTTAACATGGTGCTGATATGAATTACTGCATATAAAATACACTGTCTTGTTGAGGGCATCTGTTGCTGAGGATAGTAACGGTCACTTTACACTAGCTGGACCATTGAAAGGATTGAGGAGTGTTGGGGGAATGGGGAGCAAAACAGATTTCTTGTGTTACAGTGTTCCAGAAAGCATTGTGAAGCGCTGTCAGTATTGAGAATTGGCTTCTAAAGCTTTTTCCCCTGGTATAAATGAACACATCGCATGCACCTTCTGTGCTTTTCATTGCTTGCTGCACAGGACTTTATGTAATGCATATGCAGGCCAATATTTCATGAGTTTG